ATATAACAATATTCTATGTATACATTGTTATACTTATTTACATGACATGATGTATTACAATTTATTGGTACATAACACATATGATTACATCATATAAGCTATATAATACAAATATAATTTGATATATAGTATTAAGTTGTTATAGTTTATGTGTTTACAAATAATTTATGGTATACATTAATCTGTGAAATATATATTCTATGATATATATTGTAATAAATTAATGTTATATATAATTTACAAAATTATATATTACAGTACATAATATTACATAGTAAATTAGATTATATAATATGCCACATATAATATATAGTATACTGATATTATTAATATATAAATAATTTTGAACATTAAATATAAATATATAAAATTTTTTAAAGTGGGCTCTTCTTTAGATGACAGAGGTGTTTATTTTTTTTTTTTTGACAGAGGTGTTTAAATAAAACATTTGCAGTCTTTTTCACAAAAGAGTAGAAGGTGCAGAATGGAGAACAGAGTGTACTCCAGGTTGACAGTTTATGTTTGAACAAGGACATGGGAGTAATAAGTAAATTGTGCTTCTGGCACAGAATAAATCAATCTGCCATGAATGGAAAGTTTGAATCAGGAATATTTCAAAATGGACTGTGTTACCTAAGACAAAAGCCACATGAGATGATAGTGTACACCCACCAGAATAGGTAAAATGTTAAAAACTGAATATACCAAATATTGGCAATAAAGTGAAGTAACTGGAATTATTGCTCATTGGTAAAAGATACAACAGCTTTGGAAAGCAGTTTGGCAGTTTCTTAAAAAGTTAAACACAAATGTATCATATGATTGAGCATTTTATGCCTTGATATTTGCTCAAAAAAATGAAAACATCTGGCCACACAGAGACTTGTGCATGGATTTTCATAGTGGCTTTATAGCCAACAACTGGAAATAATCCAGATGACATTCAACAGCCAAATAGGCAAATTAAATTATGGTATATTTGTACAACTGAATATTACCAAGGAAAAGAAGAAATAATTTTTTATATATGCAACAACATGGATGAACCTCAAAATAATTCTTCTGTGTAAAAGCTAGACCAAAAAAGAAAAAAAGTACAAGTCAAGTGAGTTGGTTTATATGAAATTCTAGAAGGTCAAATCAATCTGTCTAAGAGGAAACAAGTCAGAGATCACCTAAAGAAGGGGGTAAAGAGACGATGGATTATAAAGCAAAATGAGAAAACTGTTGGGGGCAGGATGGAAATGTTTGTTATTCTGACTGTGGTAATGGTTTCATGTGGTGATGGTTTCATGGTGCACACATATGTCAAGTTCAGCAAATTGTGTACTTTAAATATTTTTCAACTATTATATTTGATATATCACAAAGCTATGCAGAAGTGTTTTTTTAAATAAACTGTGGTAGGTCTTGAGTTTATGGAATTCATGTTAATATACTTATTGTAGGAACAATGAGGGATTGGGAATAAAAAAGGAAAAGGAAACAAGATCAAGCTTTCTCTAGTGAAGGCTCATACGTTCCTTTCTATTTCGGCTATTATCCAAATTTGCAGTTTTACTTTTACCTCCTAGTTAGCAAGTAGAAGACTCTGGGTTCAAGTCCAGTCTCTAGGAATCCAGTGTCTAACACTTACACACTGTTCTCTTTTGTATTCATTTCTTATTGCTGCTGTAACAAATTATCACAAACTTAATGGCGTAAGACAACAGAAATTTATTCTCTTACAGTTCTGGAGGTCAAATTCTAAAAAGGATCTGTAGAGCTGTGTTTCTTCTGGAGGCTCCATGGCAGATTAGGTTTCCTTGCTCTTTTCTCTTCCAGAGGCTGCCTGCATACTTTGGCTCATGGCTGCTTTTCTCTACCTTCAAAGCCAGCAATGGAGCACCTTTAAATATCTTTCTTCTGTCTTTGAGCCTTTACCTCCCTCTCTTAAGGACCTTTGTGATTACATTTATGACCCACCCAGATAATCCAGGATAATCTCCCCCTCAAGATTCTTAATTTAATCACACCTGCAAAGCCTTAGTGCCATATTAGGTAACATTCACCGGCTCCAGGGATTAGGGCATCGATGTCTTTGGGAGCTCATTATTTAGGCAATCACACATTTCTACAGATTGTCAAAATCTTAGCTAAACCTGCTGAGGGAATCCATTACCATTAGGGTCCAGCATAGTACCAAATGGCTGTATCTCAGAAAACAGCCAGTGGTGTGAACACTGAATATGACTAACGGGAACTTAAAATATATATAGAATTTAATCAATAAAACCATGATAGAACAAAAGATAGGGAGGAAGTAAATGGAGTTAGCATTTTCTATGGTTCTTGTATCGCTGGGGAAATAATCGTTCATTGCATGTTAATATGGTAAGGATGCACATTATCTTTAAAGGAGCTGTAAAAGAATTTGTAAAAAAATAATCTAATAAAAAGAAATAACAATAAGGGTGCCTGCGTGGCTCAGTTGGTTGAGCACCACTCTTGATTTCGGCTCCAGTCCTGATCTCAGGGTCCTGGGATCGACCCCCGTTGGGTTCTGCACTTAGTGGGGAGTCTGTTCCTCCCTCAGCCTCTGCCCCTTCCCCTGCTCATGCTTGCACAGGGGAATTTTGGACAGAAGACTTATTAAGTTGTTAGGACTTAATTATTTAATAAATGGAACTGTAAGGTATTTCTTTTTTAGCTAGTAATGATGTGGAAAACTGAGATCCTAGATTGCACTATGAACTGAATAAGTTTAGGAATTATTTTTAATTCATTCTGTTATAATGAATTAAAAATAAAAAATATGTTGTCCATACAAAAGAAACAATATACATGTTCAGAGACAGAATGGATGAATATAAAAGGATGAAAAACCTGCCATGCAAAAACAAACCAAAATGAAGATGATTTGGCAAATGTGGCATAACAATCTTTGTCTTTAAATTATCACTGTGTATGTATATTTAAAATAGTTATTGATGTATTAAGAACTAAGTCTGTAATCTTATTTTTATTTGTCCCTACAAACAAAGTAGACAAAGTAGAATTTGAGGCAACTTTCATTACTAAAGATAAAGAGAGGTATTTTCTAATGATAAAAGGTCAATCTACCCAAAATATAATTTAAAAATTTTAAGGTTAAAATGGAAAGAATTAGAAGAAGAAATAAGACCAGCGTACAATAAGAATATTTAACACAACTCCTAGTAGAGTAAGCAGACCCTCTCAAAACAGTAAGTATCTAGAAGATTTGAACAAATCTGATTAGCAGATTGGACCTCACTGACATACCCAGAACACTGTACCCACCGTAGAGAGATATTTTTACAAATACAAGTGATACAGTTACCTCAAATGACTGTATGTTGAACCATAAAACAAGCCTCAATCAATTTCACAATAATACACATGCAGCTAAAAAATATAATCATAAATATACAGCGAAAAAAATTCCTCAAATGTTTGTAAACTATGCAAAACATTTCTAAATAAACCATGGGTCAGTGAATAAATCACAATGACCATCATCAAATATTTCATACTGAAAAAAAATGAAATATCAAAATTTGTAGAATGCAGCTAAATAAATGCTAGAATAAAAGTAATTGAATGCTTATTTCAGAAAGTATGAAAAGCTGAACATGTTTTAAAATCTAAATAATCACCTCAAGAAATTTACTTTTTAAAAAAAGAACAGCAAAGAAACTCAAGAAAACTGCAGTAAAGATGAAAGTAAGTATAGATCAACAAAATCAAAAGTTAATTCTTTGAAGACTATTAAAATTGGCCAAGTGGTTGACTGGTCTCAATTTACCCTCCATTATTTGAATTAATTAGTAGTGAGAATGGAAAGGAACAGGTGATTTTTAAAAAATAGAAGAGATTTCCAAAACTAAGTAAAATGACATTTTTTTCCAACAGAAAAATGTTATTTAAAAAAAAAAAAAGAAAAGAAAGGGCAGCCCTGGTGGCCCAACGGGTTTAGCGCCGCCTTCAGCCCAGGGCATGATCCTAGAGACCAGGATCGAGTCCCACGTCGGGCTCCCTGCATGGAGCCTGCTTCTCCCTCTGCCTGTGTCTCTGCCTCTCTCTCTGTGTGTCTCTCATGAATAAATAAATAAAATCTTTAAAAAAAAAGTAAAAGAAAAATGCTATTTTTATTCCCTTAACTTAAGCCTACTGGGCCTGAAAAGGAAGTTGCGGTCTAATATTTAATTTAAAATATACATTTTTATATGTATGTTTTCATGAAGTACAGCTTTAGTTGTTGAGCTTTGTCTACAGAGCATGTGCTGAAATTTCCCTATGCCGAAATAATTGACTTGGTAACAGATCCTTAACAGTGGTGCCCATACTGAAGGCCAGAGAATAGTCTCGTGAGGTCTGGATGAAACTCCAAGAGTGAAACTGGATGGTGAAATGCACACACGTGTTGTATGACACACAGGAACAATCATGGGTTCTCTTGTGTAATAAAGGGAGGGAGGATGGGTCGATGAAGCCTGAGCCACAGGACTTCCCGATGGACTAAAATTTCCCTTCAGTCAAAAACTGTATCTATATCTTAATTGCCTTCAAAACAGCAAGGGCTTTTTAAATGGGTAGATGCTGATTTAAAAAGCTCATTTCTGGGCACGTGGGTGGCCTAGTCAGTTAAGCCTCCAACTTGATTTCAACTCAGGTCACGATCTCAGGGTCATGAGATTGAGCCCCACGTCAATCTGCACTCAGCAGGGAGTCTGCTTGAGATTTTTTTCTCTCCCTCTTTGTCCCCCTCTGCCCCTCTTCTCACTCATGCATGCTCTCTCCTCTCTCCTCAGAATAAAGAAATAAATCTTTAAAAAAATTAAAAGTTCATTTCTAAGATCACTACTAAGAGAAACAATCATTTTACCATCATTAGGTGTTCTTTTTCTTTGATCACGACTATGAAGCATATTGGAGAAAAAGAGAAAGTAGAGCAGAAATTTCTTCCTTAATCTAGATGTCACTGTGGTCTTGGTCTCCAGGTCAATGCAAAGCCCCAGAACAGCTTCCATTTGCCAAGCCTTTAAGACTGATCAATGAGTCTGAGTTTCCCATTGGGACATCTATTAAGTATGAGTGCCGCCCTGGTTACCAAAAGAGAGTGTTCTCCATGAAGTGCCTACAGAACTCGGTCTGGTCAAGCGTTGAAAATATGTGTAAACGTAAGTACCTCTGGACTGAGAATTCCTCTGTGTCAATCAAATATCCATTCAGATTTTGGAACTCAGACACATATGACTTGATAAGTTTGCTTAAAGTATAGCACATGTGAGAGCTATTCTGTCACATCTTCCTACTACTTTGACTTCCTGGCACCTTCATTACAGGTTCATTTCATAAGAAATGAACATCACAAGGCATGATTGAGGGAAAATCTCCCTTCAGCAGGGATTTCCCTTTGTCACCACTGCAACTAAGTAATGAATGACTCAAAAAAGTAGAGAAAAGTGTAGGTGGGGAGAGAATCCCAGACTTCGAGAGCTCTGATTTTCATTGGTTGAATTACAGAGTAAACACTTCAGTAATAAGGGAAGTTTACATTTTTCTGGGAGGCACAGTACAGGGACAAGATAGATTTGGAGGGGAGGTCTTTTTGAAAGTGGTTCTTAGCAGGTGGCTGGTCCTGAGGCAGTCTTGTAAGTTTCTTCAAGGTGGAGAAATCTATGGAACTACGGATGCTTTTCAGTCAAGTTGGGACCTTATGTAGTTACTAAGAGAAGTCCAGAGTGTTCAATACCCAATCCCCAAATTCTGCTTCTTTCCCAATAGGTAAATCATGTGGAACTCCTCCAGAACTCCTGAATGGCAAATTGACGGTAGACGGAGACGCCCGGTTTGGATCAACTGTTCATTATGCTTGTAATGTAGGGTGAGTTGGCAGCAGCATCATTTGGGATGATAGTTCCAGAACTGTAGCACGAATCTTTTAAAAAAAAGTCTTAGAAAGTCTACTTGTCCATCAAAAACATGGCAAAAAGATTTCTAGGCGGAGGTGATGGCTTGGATCTAGGTATTTACAACTGGAAATGACTAAACAAATAATTGGAAAAATAGGAAAAACTTTTATATCCATGAGAGGAACTCCAGGGATGGGGAGGAAAGATGCCTATTGCACACCAAAGTAACGCACCTAAAAACCAGTTGAAGCACGTATTAAATGGGAAGGACCAGCTCTTTAAAGAAGCAAATGGAACAAACATTATTTGATCTATGCATATATTCTTACCCTGAAGCCATAAGAGCTGTCGATGGTGGAGTCAGAAGTGGGAAGGAATGATTTGTTCGGGAAAATGGAGCTAATGTGATGGACAGGCAAAACTTGATTGTTATAGCCCCTCTCTGAAATGCACACAGTGCAGAAATTTTGCTGTGAGCATATTTTTTTGGCTTATCCTTAAGGGAGACAACCAGTTCAGTAAAGAAATAGGGAGACTGCTTTTTCTTTTATATTAACTTTTGCTTTGTTTTTATTATTTATTGCTCACTTAAAATAAATATAAGTGATAATTAAAAACAGTAATAACAATAAAATGAACTTCAGTGTATATGCTATCTACTTTAAGAAACATCGCTAAGACCTTAGAAGCTTCCTATGTAGGAGGGACATGATGGGATGAGCACTAGGTGTTATACCATATGTTGGCAAATCGAACTTCCATAAAAACAAATGAACAACAAAAAAAAAGCTTCCTATGTGCTTTTTTTGTTTTTGTTGTTCATTTGTTTTTATGGAAGTTCGATTTTAGGTCGTTCATTCCCTTGCGTGTGTTTTCAATTTTCCCCCACACATAATCCTCCTAAACAGTTTATATTTAGCTTTGCATATTTTGAACTTTATACAAATGCCATATTATATGTATTCTCTGCAACTTGCTTTTCTATTAACAGTTTGTTTCTGACACTTATCCATGTGGTTGTGGTTCATTTTAGCTTGATAGTATTTCCTTGTATGGATATACCACAATTTATTTTTCTTGGTTGTTATATTTGGGTTGTTTCTAGTTTGTTTTACTTTGTTTGGTTTCAGCTATCATCATAAGCATTCCCAACATAAATATACATGTCTCCAAATGCACATGCACAGAGGTTTCTCTAGGACAGTAGTTTTCACACTTTTTTTACTATGATCCCCAGCTAAAATTATATTTTTTATGATACATACACAACACACTCACACACATACACCTCTCACATACACACATTTATATAAATTAAAGTATCGAAAATGTCTCACCACTTTTAACCAACACTGTGCTGGAGGTTTAAGCCAGGACAATTAATCATGAAAAAGAAACAAAAGGCATCAAAATTGGAAGGAAGAAACCATTGATAATTGTCTTCCTCTGATTAACTTATTTCACTCAGCATAATAACCTCCAGTTCCATCCATGTCTGATGGCTGAGTAATATTCCATTGTCTATGTATACTACATCTTCTTTATCCATTCATCTGTTGATGAACATCTCAGCTCTTTCCACAGTTGGGTCATTGAGGACGTTGTCGCTATGAACATTGGGGTACAGGTGCCCCTTCAAATCACCACATTTGTATCTTTGGGGTAAATACCTAGTAGTGCAATTACTGGATTGTAGGGTAGTTCTATTTTGTAACTTCTTGAGAAATCTCCCTACTGTTTTCAAGTGGCTTTGCCAGCTAGCATTCCCACCAACAGTGTAAGAGGGCTCCTCCCCTTTCTCCACATCCTTGCCAACACGTTGTTTCCTGACTTGTTAGTTTTAGCCATTCTGACTAGTACAGGGTGGTATCTCATTGTGGTTGTGATTTGTATTTCCCTGATGACAAGTGATGTGGAACATTTTCTCATCTGTCTGTTGGCATTTGTGTGTCTTGTTGGAGAACTGTCTGTTCATGGCTTCTTCCAATTTCATGACTGTACTATTTGTTTTTTGAGTGTTGAGTTTGATAAGTTCTATACAGATCTTGGATACTAGCCCTTTATCCAATACGTCATTTGCAAATATCTTCTCCCGTTCTGTAGGTTGTCTTTTAGTTTTGTTGACTGCTTCCTTTGTTGTGCAGAAGCTTTTTATCTTGATGAAGTCCCAATAGTTCATTTTTGTCTTGTTTCCCTTGCCTTTGAGACATATCTAGCAAGCAGTTGCTGTGGCCAAGCTTGTAGAGGTTGCTGCTTAGGTTCTCTTCTAGGATATTGATGAATTCCTGTCTCACATTTAAGTCTTTCATCTATTTTGGATCTATTTTTGTGTATAGTGTAAGGAAATGATCCTGTTTCATTCTTCTGCATATGGATGTCCAATTTTCCCAACATGATTTGTTAAAGAGACTGTCTTTTGTCCATTGGATATTTTTTCCTGCTTTGTCAAAGATAAGTTACCATAAAGTTGAGGGTCCATTTCTGGGTTCTGTAATCTGTTCCATTGATCTATGTGTCTGTTTTGGTGCCAGTACTGTACTGTCTTGATGATCACAGCTTTGTAATAGAGCTTGGAAGTCTAGCATTGAGATGCCACCCATTTTGGTTTTCTTTTTCAATATTCGTCTGGCTATTCTGGGTCTTTTCTGGTTCCACACAAACTTTAGGACTATTTGTTCCAACTCTGTGAAAAATGTCAATGGTATTTTGATAGAGATTGTATTGAATGTGTAAATTACTCTGGGTAGCATAGATATTTTAACAATATTTATTCTTCCAATCCATGAGCATGAAATATTTTTCCATCTCTTTGTGTCTCTCTCAATTTCTTCCATACGTGTTCTGTAGTTTTTAGAGTACAGACCCTTTACCTCTTTGGTTAGGTTTATTCCTTGATATCTTATGGTTTTGGGTGCAATTGTAAATGGGATTGACTCATTTTCCCTTTCTTCTGTATCATTGTTAGTATACAGAAATGCAAGTGATTCCTGTGCACTGATTTTTTTTTTTTTTTGCTGAATTCCTGCAATTTTGTGGCAGAGTCTTTTGTGTTTTCCACCTAGAGTATCATGTCATCTGGGAAGAGTGAAAGTTTGACTTCTTTGCCAATTTTTTTTTTTTTTTCTTCGCCAATTTGAATGCCTTTTATATCTTTCCATTGTCTGGTTGCTGAGGCTAGGACTTCTAGAACTATATTGAGTAACAGTGGTGATAGTGGACATCCCTGTCATGTTCCTGACCTTAGGAGAAAAGCTCTGTTTTTTCCCATTGAGAATGATATCCATTGTGGGCTTTTCCTAGATGGCTTTTATGATACTGACATATGTTCCCTCTGTCCCTACACTATGAGGAGTTTTTTTTAAAGTTTTTATTTATTTATTTATTCATGACAGACACACAAGACATAGAGAGGCAGAGACATAGGCAGAGGGAGAAGCAGGCTTCATGCAGGGAGCTTGATGTGGGACTCAGATCCCTGGGCCAGGGATCATGCCCTGAGCCAAAGGTGGATGCTCCACCGCTAAGCCACCCAGGCATCCCCACTGTGAGATTTAATCAAGAAAGGATGCTGTACTTTGCTGAATGCTTTTTCTGCATCTATTAAGAGGATCATAAAGTTCTTATCCTTTCTTTTATTAACGTGATATGTTATATTGATTGATTTGCAAATGTTGAACCACCCCTGCAGCCCAGGAATAAATCCCACTTAGTCATGGTGAATAATCCTTTTAATGTACTGTTGGACCCTATTGGCTAGTGTCTTGGTGAGAATTTTTGCATCCATATTCATCAGGGATATTGGTCTGTAATTCTCCTTTTCGGTGAGGTCTTTGCCTGGTTTTGGGATCAAGGTAATGCTGGCCTCATAGAATGAGTTTGGAAGTATTCTTTCCATTTCTATCTTCTGAAACAGCTTTAGTAGAGTAGGTATTATGTCTTCTTTAAATGTTTGGTAGAATTTCCCTAGGAAGTCATCTGGCCCAGGACTTTTGTTTGTTGGGAGGTTTTTGATGACTGCTTCAATTTCCTCACTGGTTATTGGTCTGTTCAGGTTTTCTACTTCCTGTTTCACTTTTGGTAATTTGTAGGTTTCGAGGAATCCATCCCTTCCTTCTAGATTGCCTAATTTGTTGGCATATAGTGGCTCATAATATGTTCTTAAAATTGTATTTCCTTGGTGTTGGTCATCTCTCCTCTTTCATTCATGATTTTATTAATTTGGGTCCTTTCTTTTTCTTTTTGATAAGTCTGGCTAGGAGTTTATCAATCTTATTAATTCTTTCAAAGAAACAACTTCTAGTTCATTGATCTGTTTTACTATTCTTTTGGTTTCTATTTCATTGAGTGCTGCTCTAATCTTTATTATTTCTTTTTTCCTACCTGGTTTAGGCTCTATTTGCTGTTCTTTCTCTAGCTCATTTAGGTGTAAGGTTCGCTTGTGTATTTGAGACTTTTCTATTTTGAAAAGGCTTGTAATGCTATGTACTTCCCTTTTAGGACCAACCTTTGTTGCATCTCAAACCTTCTGAATAGTTATGTTTTCATTTTCATTTGAATCTTTTGAATCATTCTTTAGTTTCCTGGGTGACCCATTCATTCTTTAGTAGGATGCTCTTTAACCTCTAAGTATTTGAGTTCCTTCCAAATTTTCCCTTGTGATTGAGTTCAAGTTTCAAAACACTATATTCTGAAAATGTGCAGGAACTAATCTCAATCTTTTGTTACCTGTTGAGACCTCATTTGTGACCAAATATGTGGTCTATTACCAGCAGCCCTTGGTATCACTTGGCTATAAACACATCACTCCTATCTCTGCCTCTATTCTCACATGGCTTTGCCTCTGTATGTGTTAACATTGTCTTCCCTCTTTCTCTTTGTCCAAATTTCCTTCTTCTAAGGACACCAGTCATTGAATTAGGGCCCATGCTAATCCAGTATGACATCATCTTAACTCCATTATATCTGCCAAGACCTTATTTCCAAATAAAGTCAGATTCTGAGGTTTCAGGACATAAATTTAAAGGCACACTACTGAACCCAGTATGGACATGAACAGACATTTCACTGAAAAGAATATGTAGATGGAAAGTAAGTACATGAAAAGATATTCAGCTTCATTAGCCATTAGGAAAATGCAAAATACAACAACAATGGAACAATACTACATACATATCTGAATGGCTAAAATACAAACTAGTGAAAACACCAAATGCTGGCTTGGATGTAGAGGAACTGGATCACTCATTCTTGCTGATAGGAATATAAAATGGCAAACCCACTCTGGAAAACAGAAATAAGCTATCAAGCCATGGAAAGATATGGAGGAAACTTAAATGCCTTTTATTTACTAAGTGAAAGAATCCAGTCTGAAAAATCTAAATAGTCTATGGTTCCAGGTAAGTAGCATTCTGGAAAAGAGAATATGGAGTAAAAAGATCAGTAGTTTCCAGAGGTTGGGAGGAGGGAAAGATGAATATGGAAGATTTTTAGGGCAGTAAAACTACTCTGTGTGATTCTGTAATGTCATTATATATTTGTCCAAAGCCATAGAATGTACAACGCCAAGAGTAAGCCCTAATATAAACTGTGTACTAAAGATGATAATGATGTGTCAGTGCAGGTTCATCAGTTGCAACCAATTGTACCACTCTGGTGGGGGCTGTTGATAACATGGGAAAGTATGCATGTGTAGGGAAAGGGAGTATATCATAAATCTCTGTATCTCCTGGTCAATATTTTTTTTATTTTTTTTTAATTTTAATTTTAATTTTTATTTATGATAGTCACAGAGAGAGAGAGAGAGGCAGAGACACAGGCAGAGGGAGAAGCAGGCTCCATGCACCGGGAGCCTGACGTGGGATTCGATCCCGGGTCTCCAGGATCGCGCCCTGGGCCAAAGGCAGGCGCCAAACCACTGCGCCACCCAGGGATCCCCTCTCCTGGTCAATATTGCTGTGAACCTAAAACTCCTCTTAAAAATAGTCTGTATAAAAAATTGAATAGATGTAAATATCCAAATGCACACATACATACTTACACAAATTAGTCACAAATTAGTACAAACCAAACAGGAAATATGAATAAAATTGGTGGATCATACTATGTCAGTATCCTGGTTTTAATATTCTACTATAGTTTTGCAAGACATCATCAATGGGGGAAACTTAAATTTTCCAAGTTTTATGGTACACTTTGAACAGTTTGTGGCATACTAAGTCAGAATTTCTACCTTTAACATTTTAAATGTGAAATCAGAGTTCAACTTTTTTATTCTACTTGGATTTGCTTTCGTTCTAGTTTGATGAATCTTAAATAATTTAGGTTTATACGAAGACATGGCTCAAAGTAATATAGAAAGAGAGAGCCCAGTTAGTTTAAAAGCCATGAAGAAGAATTTAAGTCCAAATAAAGACATTAAATTTGGAAAAGTGATAGTACTATGACAAATGGAAATTGTTCTTCTGAATTCTCCAAGATGGCAATCTCTTACAAGTTGCAATTTAAGTGGGAAAATAACATTCATTCTTCTTTCCCTCTAGATACCAACTTATTGGTCATTCATCTATTTCATGCATCATCTCAGATAATACTGTCGTCTGGGATGATGATCCACCTATTTGTGAGAGTAAGTAAGTTGAAATATTCTTTCCTATTTACCTTCACCAAGAGATTCTAAGTTTCCCCCTAAAGTTATAAAAATCTTAATTGAATTGCTTTTGTGCATTCTATCCCTCAATATCTATGGGGTTTCTGGCAACTGCTTCCTTAAGTTTTTCCTTATTTTGTGCCTTTTCTGAATCTAGGAACTTATTTTTTTTTAAGATTTTATTTACTTATTCATGAGATACACACACAGAAAGAGAGAGAGAGAGAGAGAGAGAGAGGCAGAGACACAGGAGAGGGAGAAGCAGGCTCTATGCAGGAAGCCTGACGTGGGACTCGATCCTGAGACCACAGGTTCACGCTGCTCTGAGCCAAAGGCAGGCACTAAACTGCTGAGCCACCCAGGGATCCCTGAATCTAGAAACTCAAATTCATAAAAGCCTTCAAATTTTATTTTTACTTCAGTTAATTCAGAATTATGTTGATTTTCCACCCCCAGTATAACAATCATTCTACTTGGCAAATTAGTAAAGATTTTTTTTTTTTAACCTCTCCAAGGTTGGTGAAGCTGTGAAGCTTTCACATACTTAGAGTTCCACAAAACCTCTTGAAAGGCACCATGTATTATAAGCCTCAAAATGGGCATATATTTTGACCCGTTTCTTAGAATTTATACTTGGAAAATAAAGACAAATTTTTACTAGAAGTTCACTATAAACTTTTCATTGCCTCATTCTTTATAAGAGAAAAAAGGTTAAAGTAACCTAAATGTTTCAAGCTATGATTTGGAAAATGCTAGAAAGAAAGTCGTGTTAGAAATGATTTTAGAGAATTCCTTAAGAAACATAAAATATAGCCACACATAATTAGAAGAAATACATCCAGGAGCACCTGGATGGCTTAGTCAGTTAAGCATCTGACTCTTGATCTCAGCTCAGCTCTTGATCTCAAGGCAGTGAGTTGCAACCCCATGTTGGGCTCCACACTGGGTGCAGAGCCTACTGAAGAAGAAGGAGGAGGAGAAGGAAGAGGAGGAGGAGGAAGAGAAGGAGAAGAAATACATCCATATGCTGGAATGTTATTCAGCTAAAATAAAAATTGATCTCACGGAGAAGCAATTAATGACATACAAAGATGTTAATTATATACTTTTATGTGAAAAAATCAGATGACAAAACAGTAATCTTGGTAGATCTCTTTATTTAAAAATAATACACCTATATCTATTCCTAGATTTTCATTTCTATTTCTAATTCTGTAACTTTTCCTATATCTAAACTTTGGTGAATGGCTTCAAAGCTCCTTGGTGGAGGTGGGAGGAAACTTCTGGTATACGTTTTGGCTGTGTAGCAGCATGCTTTCTCAAGAAGATCCTGTCTCCTATTTATCTGAGCTGCTCTAGGTCTATCAATGGGCTCTCAAGTCTGGGAGCTGGTTGACAAAAAAAACCATAACTTTTTGTTTTGTTTTGTTTTGTTTTGAGTGATTCAGGTCAGACCTAGATCTCTTTTGCTTTTACCCAACAAATAATACTTTACGCCACTCTTCATCTATTTCAGTTTTAGAAGCTCCATAACAACTAGCCAGGGACAAAGATCTCTGCAGGCAAATTATTCCGATTTCTGTTTCAGTTGTCTCCGGATATTAAGTGCTGCCACTTGGCTTCTGCCATCCTGAGGTCTTCTGTCTCCATTGAATTTAGGAAACCAAGCTCAATAACAAAGTTCCCAATGTCATTCCCGGCCTACAGAGAATAACCATCACAGAGTTTTTCAAGGATATTGAAAATTCTGCATGAAATGTATTTCTCAAAGCCTTGGGTGAAAGGATAAAAAGTCTCTCTTGCAACACCCGCCCCCCACACCTGCACATAGGAAGTGAACAAACAGGGGGCTCACATAAGTCCATTATGGCATTCCTAAATCCCAAAGCCATAGGATTTCTTCTTCAAGGGTACACTAAGAAAGTTCTTGTATTTCAGCTTCATTTAATCTAAGTCATGCTCTAACAACATTGAATTCACAATCTTAATTCTGGTTTTTTTTTTTTTTGTGCCTTCTTGCAGGTCATAATTTGTACTCCCTCCCACAACACCTCCTAACTCCACTTCCAAGTCTACCAGGATTTAGAACAGGTTAAAGGACCAGAATTAATGTGTAGTAGCAATGGTAGGTCCTGAGGAAGATCAGAAGTCCCTGAAATTTGGGTTGCAAGATTTAGTAAATAAAAATACAAGATATCCAGTTAAAGTTGAATTTCAGGTAAGCCACAGATATTTTTGCATTCTAAATATGTACCTTGAAATGCTTGGGATATACTTAGAAATTTTTCATTATTTTTTTAATTTAAATTTGAAATTCAAATTTAACTGGATATCCTGTATTCTTTCTGGCAACCCTATCAGGGCAGCTACCTCAGGAAAGATTATCAGAGTTTCTTTGCACAAGGGGAGGCTTACCTCCTCAGACAGGGAAGGAGAGGCTGCTGCTTCTAGCAAAGAAAGCTCAGCAGAATTTCCAGGTTCGAGGTATTCAGCTTCCTTAGACTCTGCCCACTTAGCTCCATCTCAATTTTTATTTTTTTTCCATCTCAATTTTTAGAGTCCTCTTTCTCCCAATCAATGCTCAAACTTTAACATAAGAGACCCTGTTAAGCTGTGAATTCAATTTACCTTGGAATCCAGCCACAGGATTAGATGTTGGATTTGTTCTTCAGAAATCTTGGCTCTGTGGCTACAGAGTGCATGTGTTTCTTTTAGGGCAGATAATAGAAGCTTTCAGAGCCAGACCTTGAGCAGGAATTTAAAGTATTTTCTTTCTCTTAAATTCTCCAGTGCACTTAGAAGGAAGCAACCAATCAACTCTTTCTTCCTTCCCTCCCTACCTTCTTTCCTACCCTTCCTTCCTTCCTTCCTTCCTTCCTTCCTTCCTTCCTTCCTTCCTTCCTTCCTTCCTTCCTTCATATCTCTCTCTCTATTTCCTTCATATATTACCTAGGACCACCACTAAAATATTTAACATCGATGGGGATAGAAGTTATCCTTGTCTTGTTCTCCATCTCAAAGGGAAAGATTGAAATATTTCTATTGTTTGCTATAGGCTTTTTGTAGATACCCATTTTCAGATAAAGGAAATTTCCTAATATTCCTCATTGCTAAGAATTTATCATTAAATCATGTTGAAGTTCTTCAGGCACTTTGGCTACATATATTGAAATAATCATATTGTTTCTCCATAGCTCTCTTAATATAATGAATTGGGTTTTTTTTAAAGATTTTATTCATTCATTCATTCATGAGAGACACAGAGAGAGCAGCAGAGACATAGGCAGAGGGAGAAGCAGGTTCCTGTCAGGGAGCCCAAGGCAGGACTTGATCCCCGGACCCGGGATCACAACCTGAGCTGAAGGCATACGCTCAACCGCTGAGCCACCCAGGTGTCCCTGTAATGAATTGTTTTAATTACTTTTTCAAAGGCAAACTGATTTTGAATTCCAATTTTACCTTTTTGGAATAACTCAACTTGGTCATAATATTTTATAATTTCTGGGCTCCTGGGTGCTGGTTTGTGTATCTCTTTTATTGTTTTGTAGAAATTCTTTATACATTCTCAGATTTTCCAATAAATGTAACACAAATATTTTCTTCCAGGCTAAAACTCATCTTCTTGCTTCCTTAATGATGTTTTTTGATGATAGAAGATATACATTTTAATAGTGTCTTTTAATAAGACTTACTAAGTCTACCCTTTCTGGTCACTACTTTCTGTGTTCTACGTAAGAAATCTTTGCCCATAATTTTATCTTTCAAGTTAAGTCTGTGATGCATCTCAGGTTTACTTTTTGTATGGTGTGGAGTGTGGTCAAGAAATTTGTTTGCTTATTTTGTTTGTTTTTTTTCCTAATGGATAAGCGATTCGTCTAATATCATTTACTTAAAAAACCATTTTTTGTATATCACAATGCAATAGTATACCATAAATCAGGTGACATTTCAGAGAGGTTCTGTTCCTCTGGTTTATTTATCACACTATTTTCATTACTATAGCATTATATTAAGAGTTGATATCTGGTGGCATATCCCCTAACCATGCAGTTCTTCCAAAATTTACTTGGTAATTCTTGGCCCTTTGCATTTTGAGATAAAATTTAGAATCAGCTTGTCAGTTTTCACAAAAAGAATCCTACTGGAATTTGTATTGACTTTCTTGACTCAGTAAATCAATTTGTGGACCATTAGCATATTCACATTTTGAGTTTTAAATTTACGGACATGATATATTTCTCCATTATTTAAATCTTCTTCAATTTCTTTCAATAATATTTGCCGATTTACATTATAGACATTGGAAAATGTAACATTTCCTAATTGTTTCTTAAATATGCAATCATTTGAACTTGGACCCAGCAATCTTGCTAAATTTACTTATAAATGCAATAGTGTATCTGTATATTCTTTTGGATAAGCTGCATCAATAATCATTCACTGGTGAATAATTATCCTTTGTTTTAATCCTTTCCTTTCTCGTATTTTTTTATTATTAATTTCTCTTGCTTTACTGCATTGGCTAGAACCTCCAATACAATGTTGAATGGAAGAGACGATATTAAGTTTTTAATAGTCATTATAAAGCATAGTGTTTACTGAAGGTTTGGGGGAGATATTCTTTATCAGATTAAGGAAATACACTGTTATTCCTAACTTGAGAAAAGATTAATTGTGAATTTATACTCTAATTTATCACACTGTGTATCTATCAAGATGATCATGTCCTGTTTCTCCTTCACTGTGTTAATTTTTGTACTTTTACATATATCTCACAAGATGTTATTGTTTTTATAAAAACAGTATTTATTTATACTTAAACATACTCTTTCAGTTATGTTTCCTCCGTATTGCTGTTCTATCAGTTCTTTATGACACTATTTTCCTTCAATCTAAAAAATTATCTTTTAGCATTTTTGTAGTGTAGGTCTTCTGACAATAGGTTCTTTAAATATCTTCCTAAGTATGGTTTCTTTAAGAGTTATCATCTCTATTTTCTGGCTGCCTTTAAAGGTAATTGCTCTTGATTTTTTTTTTTTTTTTACAATACTACTATGATGTGTCAAGCTAAAGATTTTTTTAAATATTTGTATTGCTTGAGTTTGTATGGATTCTTGAATCTGTGGTTCAATGATGTCTTTCATCAGTTTTGGAAAATTCTGAGTCATTACTTCAAATGTTCCTGCTCTAATATCTTTCTCCTTTCATTGTGGGAATTCATTTAAACATGTGATAGGCCTCATCCCTCTATCCTATAAGTCTATTATTCTTTTTGTCATATTTCTGATCCTTTTGTCTCTCTGTGTTTTATTCTGGATATTTCCTTCTGTCCTAGCTTCCAATTCACTGATTTTTATTTAACCGTGTCTTACTGGCTGTTAATTCTATCAGATTCTTCATTTCAATAATTGTATTTTACAACTATAAAAACTTGTATTTGGTTCCCTTCAAAATTTGCCCTGTTGTTTTTGCTTCTAGTTCTTACCAACAGTTCAAGTTTCATATATTTCATCCTCAAATAGATAAACGTAATTATTTTAAATCTGTGAGTAAAAACTCCAACATCTGGGGTCCTAATGGTTCAGTTTCTGTTGTCAGTGATTATGCTGGCTCTTCTTCATGTTATTTTTTCTCTTTCAGTAGTGGGTGAACCTTGATTGTATGTCAGGAATTATATTTGAAAACCTTTCTGTAGAAATAAATTCAAGATCTTAGATAATCAACCTTCTTCAGGAAGGATTTTTGTTGCAATTTCTTCAGAAACCTGGGGACACTAGCAATCTGGGACCATTTTCATTCAATTTCAGAAACTTTTTTTTTTTCTGGGCCACCTACAGTGCTTGAGGAACTACTCCAATAATCTTAAGCCTCAGGGCCTATTGCTTCGAGGTCCCAGTATACATCAGAAGGTGTTACCAAGGCTTCCACTTTTGCAGGACCTGGACTCCATTTTTTGTTCCTTGACTCCATCAAACTATCAAAAGTCTACTCACCATTCAGATGCCCCTTCTCGATTCAGCCAACCTTCCAGCAGAAGAGCAATCTAAATGCCTGACTCTCACCTAGATTTTTATCTTCTATCAGATCATAGTCCAGTGATGCTTCATTAGTTTATTAACTTTCTGGTGCATTCACAGATATATTTTATATTTTATCTAGCATTTCTAGTCTTTCTTGGGGGGAGAAAATGGAAGGAGGGTGATATTGGATTTGAATTATTAAGATTACCCTTACCAGAAGGAGAAGCCTCCTTAAGAATTTTTATTTTTACTTATTTTTTAAAAGATGTATTTATTTATTTTTAAAGAAAGAGAGAGTGAGTGGGGGAAGGGCAGGTGGAAAGGGAGATAGAATCCTCAAGCAGACTCCTTACTGTGCACAGAGCACAATGTGGGGCTCCGTCCCAGGCCCCTGAGATCATGACCCAAGCGGAAACCAAGAGTTGGATTCTTAACTACCTGAGTCACTCAGGAGCCCCAAGAAATTTTATTTTCAATTTCAAGTGTTTTGAAGTTTTTTGTTTTGTTTTCTTTTTTTTGTAAAGATTTTATTTATTTATTCATGAGAGACATAGAGAGAGAGAGGCAGAGACACAGGCAGAGGGAGAAGCAGGCTCCATGCAGGGAGCTCAACATGGGACTCGATCCTGGGTCTCCAGGATCACGCCCTGGGCTGAAGGCGGTGCTAAACTGCTGAGCCACCTGGGCTGCCCTGTTTGGGAGTTTTTGATAAAGTTGCTTAGTTTTAGTTATATGGTATTACAGTAATACAATGTACTATATGTCCTACTTCTATATGTTCAAATGTATGGAGGGTGTTTTGTGGACTCATATATGATCACTTCTACATGGGTATCGTGTTGTGATATCAAACGTAGGCTTGATAAAATGAGTTGGTAAGTTTTCTGTCTTTTACATTTTGTGAGACATTTGAAATTACATTTGGAAGTATGTATCACCTGAAAGTAACTTGATAGAACTTTTATGTAAAATATTTTTTCTATTCTTACAAGTTTCTTCTCCATTCTAGCTTTCTATATTTTCTTGAATGAATATTGGTAATTTATATTTCTATTTATATCACTTAGATTTTCAAAATGTTTAACATTTGGGCAGTTTCATATAATTTTCTTATACATATGCAAATATATTTAAATTATATTTCCTACTCTTGTGTACCTGGGTTGTTTCTCTCCTCTTCCATTTTTTTCTTTTAGCAAGGGTCTTTTTATTTTCTTTAAGCTATACTGAGCTAATAACAAAAATGGAAATTAAGGCCAGTGGAAAGGAGTAGGGGAAAAACTGTGTAAACTATGGTATAATAATAATATGATCAAAGAGCTATTTAAAATTGAAAGTATGTGGGTTTTTTTTTAAATGCATATGCTTATAGGAAATAGTGTAAGTAGGAAAGGGAGAAAGCATGCTATTATGCCCACCTAAATTACAGCTTTGTAAAAACGTATCTATATGTTATCCAAGATTAAAACAAATAGCAAATGTAAAAATAGTTATACTCATTGGATGACTCTTACTAGTTTTTTTAATTCACTATGATTTAAGTTGCAGTCTCTTTTCCCAGCTATTCATTGTGAGCCACCCCCGGACATTGCCAATGGAAATTTCCTTAGCACCAACAGAGAATATTTTCCATATGCAACCGTGGTGACCTATCGCTGCAATACTGGACATAGAGGGGAAAAGCTGTATGAGCTTGTGGGCAACCCATCAATATATTGTACCAGCGAAGACAATCGAGTTGGCACGTGGAGCGACCTTCCCCCTCAGTGCATTGTACTTAATAGATGCACACCTCCAGTCATTGAAAATGCTATAAGGATATCTGAGAACAAAAGTTTATTTTTCTTATATGAAACCGTGAGTTTTATCTGTAAGCCTGGCTTTGTCATGGAAGGACCCTCCAACGTGTATTGCCAACGCCAAAACAAATGGGGGCCGGAGTTGCCAAGCTGCACTAGGGGTGAGTCCGACTGAGGCTTTGAAGGGATCTACAAAGGGCATGAGTTGTCAGAGAGGATCAGGATCCCGATCAGTGTTTGTTCCAGAAGAAGGATGCATGGTGAGCGGTGTGAGGCAATCTAGGAGGATGAAGCATGAAATTAAGAAAGCGTGTAGGCTTGTATAGGTGTGTGCACTTATGCATATGCACCTTCATTTTGAAAGGGAATCTCGTATTGAGCAATTCTCAGAGCAAAACACCAGCTCCATCTCTCTCAAATATACTGAAAGCTGAAGTGGACTTTCTAATCAGCTGTACAATAAGCACTTTAAATGCATCATCTCAGCTCTGCTTCATAGCACTCCTTTACAATAGGGCTGATAATTCCATGTTGAATAGCCAGCACTAGAGAAAGGGCTCCCTTCTCTGGGAATGCATTTTACCTTGTGCTGGGAAGAACTCAGTTCTAATCATCTGCCTCTTACTAGCTGTGAGATCTTTGGTTACATCTCTGCCATATACTTCACTTCTATAGCAGTAACAGGGTGGGGGCGGGAGTATCATTTGATTTCCTTTGTTACACCTGAACTCCTCTAAGGATGAGGTCCTACCTCCTGGTAAGGGTGAGAGTTTAGCAAAAGACATTTCCCCTGACTGATACTTTGCCCCTGTTCTTTCCGCAGCATGTCAGGCACCTCCAGAAATTTTCCACGGTAAACACAGCGCAAGGAACAAGGACAGTTTTGCCCCCGGACAGGAAGTGTTCTACAGCTGTGAGCCGGGCTATGAGCTCCAAGGGGCTGCTTCTCTGCGCTGTACACCCCAGGGAGACTGGAGCCCAGCAGCCCCAAGATGTGAAGGTGCCTACACTTTCACTTTCACTTGTTTGCAGGCCAGTCTTTTTGTTCCTCACATGGTAGTCTTACTTCTGTTTGTTGCCGTTGTTGCTATTTTCCTAGGGAAATCATGTGCTGACTTCCTGGACCAACTCCCTAATGGTCATGTGCTCTTTCCAATTAGTCTTCAACTTGGGGCAAAAGTGTCCTTCGTGTGTGATGAGGGGTGAGTGTGACCCGGCCTAGAGACAAGAGTCTCAGGGCTTGATGCTGATATGCTGACACCAGGGGCAATGGGGGGGGTGGGGGTGGGGAATCTATCCAAAAAGCAAGCTGTCTAACAGAAAAGAAGTTCCCAAGAGGACTAATATCTGAAACCCTGACTGGGAAGGATGGTAGGAGCCAGACAGAACCATGAACAGATGCTTAAAAAGGAAACTTGATAAATATAATGAGCAGCAGGTCTGACAACAGATCTTGAATATCTAAGTGAAACATTACATGAATGAATAAAAAGTGACCTGGAGGCATGAGGAGACCTGGAGTGACCTGGAGGCATGAGGAGATAAATATTGCAGAGGGGTTGTTAAAAAAAAAGGTTGGTATATAAAAGAAAGTCATTGATAAGTAACATGTGAGAATTTGTCAAGAAAAACTTAAACCAATCCACAGTGGAATTTGGAATTGGAGTGAAAGAGTAAATAGGAGTATTTTAAAATCTAATTGTATATCATCTAATTAGAATCAGGCTGTGTTGAAGGAGCATGAAGACAGATGCTCACATTTCAAGCGATGTCATTAACCAGTTATGGAAATCTAAATGATCTTGGTATTATGTTCCAACACCATCGACAGGCAGAAAGCATGGACGATGGAACAAGTGTTCTCAATATATTCCAGGGATGCCTGGCAGGCATCTGTCACCCAACAGAGACCTGGAGGCAATACAAGCAGCCACTGGGCTGACAATAAGCCAGATGTTTAAGGAGGATGGTCCTCCAGAGAATCCTCTCTTCTCACCTTTTCTTATGTTTCCTAGATAATGTGGTTTTACCCATTGATAATGTGGATATGCTGCAGGTGTCATTCAGGAACAATCTGAATGTGTTGGCAAAAAACAAAAAAAATAGTCTCTGATGTTTTTCTTCATGTTTTCTGATTTACTTGAATCAGGGAGTTCTTTTCCCCCTGGTTCCATGAAAAGAGGAAAATGCTATGGTTTGCCTTAAAGAACAGAGTTCCTTATAGAGACAAACAGGGAGCTGTCAGAGGGCAGGCGGGACAGATGACCTCCTAAAGGTTGAAAACCGGAGACAGTTGTTATTGCTCTGTCCTCATTGGAAACGTCAGTCTTTCCAAATGTTTTGATCTTGGAGCCTCTATCCACTGAGAAAGCAAGTGAGCTGGGCTTTGTCACCTGGGCTTTAACGTAGGCATTCAACTGTATTTCTGCAAAGGGGAGAGAGAAATGGTGGGCTCACCCAGTCACTACTGCTTTTGCTCCTCAGGTTCCGCTTACAGGGGAGTTCTTCTAGTTACTGTGTCTTGGTTGGAACGGAAAGCCTTTGGAATAACAGTGTTCCTGTGTGTGAACGTGAGTACAAGGAATGTCTGTTCAGGTCTGCACCTCCCTTCTTGTTTTGTTTGTCTACTGTGTTTTGCTTATAAAATTATCTAATACTTGCCCCTTTGTTTAACTTCACTTTTGATCAAAACATTCCTTTGTTGCAAAGATTGTTTCCAGGGGAGATAAATCTGAGCACCATATGTTTGGGGTATCATCCTATAAATGTTTATAAGCATAATGTGTGCTACAAATTGAGAGAAATACTTCATAGATAGAGGGAAATAGAGAGCCTGAAACACTTTTCCTATCAAAAATGTGAGTTCCACTTCAACATTTCTATCCTTCCCTTGATCATCTATTCATTGCTAGCCTCATTCTTTCAACAAAATTTTTTGAGCACGTGCCATGTACCAAACAGTCTTCTAGACACTGGGAATACAAGTAAACAAGACAGACTAGGACTCTGCTTTCATGTTGTTTATGTTTATGTGTAGAAGGAAAGGCAAAAAAAAAAAAACAAAAAAAACAAAAAACAAAGAACAAAAAAACAGGGGCACCCGGGTGGCAAAGTCAGTTAAGCGTCAGACTGTTGGTTTTGGCTCAGCTCCTGATCTCAGGATCATGGGATCGAGTCCCACCATCAGGCTCTGCACTGAGCTCGGAGTCTGCTTGAGATTTTCTTTCCTTCTCCCTCTGCCCCACCCCCGTTTGTGCTCTCTCTTTTTCTCTCTAAAAAAAATTAAATAAATCTTTAAAAATAACAAGCAAACACGATTTTAAATGGACTATTTCAAATAGTATCAAATGTTACTAAGAAAAAACCAGGGTAATGCAATAAAATAATTAGACATTAGGAATACACTGGTAAAAAAGACAGACTAAGACTTTGGTTTCCTGTTGTTTATATTCATTTTTAAGAGGACAGAAATATAATGTGTTAACAGAAACACTACTAATATATTCAATCTGTTTATTTATTTCTTCGTTAAATCAAACAGGATACTGCTTCATCTTTGATCATAACTTTGAAAAATATATGTTTCTAATAGAATTTTTTCAAATGTATATTTTACTCTAGAGTTGTTTGAAAATTTTGTACTGATTTATATAATGAAACTTGATAATTCCATCCTTCATATCTGGAAGTCAGCCATTTGAAAATCATAACTACCCTGGAATATAGTTATGAGGTATGCAAGAAACAAAGAAAAAAATCTCCCACGAACCTAAATGCACCTAAAATCACTTACTAGAGTGTAAACATTGGTTAAGCTATTCTACTTTGATTAGTTTATTCATAATTCTTTCAAGGTATTGGAGCCTCTTCCCAAATACAGATCAAATCAGAGGGGAAAGGAGCTTCTCTAGATAGTTACACTCAAAGGAAGAAATGTGTATCTTTTCAGTGAGAAAAAAAAATCCCTGTAAAAACCAATAAATATCTCAAAAGTCATAATATTTCTGCATCTTCCAAAGCATGCATAGGAGCACTGGGATGTTTCACTCATTGTGATGACATTACTATAACCATTCATTTTGTTTTTGAGCATAAGAGCTGCAAGTCATCAAGGAAAGGTTAAGTCACTGGTAGACGAATAGTAAATATATAAAAATTTTGAAAGACTTCTCTGGAGTGAGGGTCATTGATGTCAAAAGATTTTGTCAAAAAAAAAAAGATTTTGTCTATCTTGTACTTGAAATAGTACTTGATATAGAGTAGATCCTCAAAAAAATTCCTGTAGAATTAACGGATAATTTTCTTCTCAATGGAGTTAAGATTTTATTCTATTTTAAAAGAATGAGCTCTCAATTATCCAGAAGCCTTAACTCTCCAAAGAGATGTGGACTTTGATTTCAGTGTCATTTCATTTAGAAGCATCTCAGCAAAGCCCTAATATATTTACTTTGTGATTTATATTATCCTTCAGAGTTTAAATATCTAAGTGGCAACACAGTCACAGCGTCCCATAATTGTGTAAAAATAAGATCAAAATATAAACATTTTAATGTAACCTATAACACTTGTGTTTTTTTCCAGAAATCTTTTGTCCAAATCCTCCATCTATCCCTAACGGGCACCACACTGGAACTTCATGGGGACGCATTCCCTATGGAAAAGAAATTACTTACACGTGTGACCACCACCCAACCAGAGGGATGATCTTCAACCTCATTGGGGAGAGCACCATCCTCTGCACCAGTGACAATCAAGGGAACGGGATTTGGAGCGGCCCTGCCCCTCACTGTGTACTTGCTGGTCCTGCTGGTCAGTACCCACGTACGCCAAATGGATTCAGAACATCTGGCCATGATCCTTCCTATTTTTATAAGATTATGGTGTCTGTTTGTGAGTTCAGCATTTTCATAAGATCAAGTGTCTAAGTTGCATGCCATAGTGGAAACAGATGTTTCCAAAGTACCAAGAGGGTGTGAATAATAAGGTGTGAAGAACTCTTCTTTGGTGCGGTGGTGAGCAGAGTGGGGTGAGAGGAGAGAGGGAAAGGTGAGAGGTAGGTAGCAAACACCGTGTATAAATCTAGAAGAAAAATGTATTCGTGGAGAGGACATGAGAACAGCTGGCTATGAGCACTAACCAAAGCTAGGATAACTGATACACTTCCCTCTAGTTCGTGGGCATGCAAAGGCTTAAAACTGGCAATGTGGATATTATTTAGCTAAGGCTTTAACTAGTCCTATACTGAATCCACTAAGTAACCAAAAAGACTCTACCTTTGTAGCTTAGGACCCACACTCAAAGTATGCCCATTTGTCGGCTGGTTTCTGGGCCCCACCTTAATCTTTGTCCTTGAACTTTTCCATCCTGAGAGTTAGAAGCAAAGAAAGATCAGCTCAAGGAAAGAGTTACAAAAAGGAAGAGTCTGTTTCTTCCTGAGGACTGGAGGTTACCTGGTTCTAGAGGCCTGACCGGGGGCCTTTCCAAGACAGAAGCAGAAGTACGCTGGGGATGTGGCACCAGACTTGGAATACTGCGTGCGAGAAAGAAGGAACCCAATGACAAAAGGCAACACATGCTGAAAGGCATTTAACCTTTCTTTGTTCTCCTCCTCTTCCAGCTGGGTGGTTATTTTAGAATCCTTTTAGAATCCAGTGAGATTTCTTTAAATGCAGTTACCTAGGCCACCGGCCATGCTTACTGATTGAATGGGCAAATGGAAGCAAACTCCTCCAAAAAAAAAGGAGGTGGCTGAGTATAGGCTCTGTTCAAACAATGCAGTACACAATACACCCTCTCATAAAAAAGACATAGCTTTTTAGATGAAGCTGCCTGGTGGATTAGTCTGTTTTGTCCTTGTCCTTAAATAGATGTGACTTAGCCTCAGAAGGAGAAGAGTGGTATCTTATTTTCCTACGGCTGCCATACAAGTTACCACACACTAGATGGCTTACAACAACAGAAATGTATTTTTTCACACATCTGGGGACTTGAAGTCTGGAATCAAGCAGTTGGCAGGGCTGCACTCCCTCCAGTGACTCTAGAGGAGAATCCTTCTTTCCCTCTCTCAGCATCTGGTGGTTCCTGGCATTTCTTGCCTTGTACACAGCACTCCAATCCCTGCCCCTGTCTTCACATGGCCTTCTCTCCTTGTCTCTATGTCGCAAATGTCCCTGTCCTTTCTCTTATAGACACCACCAGTCATTGGATTTAGATCCCACTCTGGTAATCTAGGAAGATCCATCTCATCTTTTTTTTTTTTTTCATTTTTCCTTAGAAATTTCATTCTCCAAATCATACTATTTAAAGCTTCTCATAAAACACTGAGCACAAGTAATCCAGAAAAAGAAAAGCTAATATATATATGACAAAAGCATTACAAATATCAATTTTAAATAGAATGTATCAAGGAAACAAACGATTTTTAAATATCTTTCAGTTCAAAAGAAAATATACCTTTCAAAAATGATCGCATCTTGAGATCGTTACCTTAATTATACCTGAAAAGACCCTTATTCCAAGTTTCCATTGTGAGGTACTGAATGGATATACTTTGGGGGGATGGTCCTCATTCAACCCACTACAAGTAGTGACTGCTATTTTCAGCCAGGGAGACTGTTTACGGTGGACACACTCAGAGTGACGTCGGGAGGAATAAATGGAGAGAGAAGGTAAAACCACGTGTTCCTTAACACCAATAAAGGTGGATAGGAACGGTTAACTCTACACACAGGCAGTCTGATAGGCCTGACCCATGAAACCATTAGCTAAAATTCTTGCTTTGGTAACACAAGAACAGAAAGGCCTGAAAGGTAAATAGTCTTCCAAGTAGCAAAAATTTCTTGATGAGTAGATGCTGTTGGAAAGCCCCTTCCTAAGGTAACTTGATGGGGAAGAAGAGCTTGTTGTTATTTTAAGTCTCTGTTTCTGTGAGCCCATCTACCAGTTCTTTGGAAAGCATGAGGAGGTAGGGTGGAAGTCTCTCTGCTCACTCTGGAATCCTGTGGTTTTGCTCTCCAGGTTACTGTAAAGCTCCAGAGGAGTTTCCATTTGCCAAGCCTGCGACCGCGATCAATGAGTCTGAGTTTCCAATTGGAACGTCTTTGAATTATAAATGTCTGCCGGGGTATTCTGAGAATATGTTTTCTATCACCTGTTTAGAAAACTTGGTCTGGTCGAGTGCCAAAGATATCTGTAGACGTGAGTAACACCATCCTGGGAGCTAATTCATGTACGTCAACGCATCTGTGGGATCCGATATAATACGTTCACCTTTTGCAGGCAAGATGTTGAAGTTTGTCCAAGATATGTAAATTGAGCGTAGACTTATGGGTCAGCCTTTCTTCTTGCCTGGAGTCTCCACACCTTGACTCCACATTTATTTCGCAGGAAGGTCTCTCACAAAAGGAATCACAGGCAAAATTTCCATTCCCCGGTGTTTGCCTTTGATGGCTAAAACCAGGATTAGAATGAAATAGGGACACAAAAGAAAAGTATGTAGAACACAGGGAATGGTGTCTGACAAAGCAAGATGGAGGGGAAATCCCAAATTTCAAGGCCTCTGATAGAGTCTGATGGGATGAGAAAACTATTCTTTATCCATAAATGAATTCTATTGGGTGATTCAGGAGTAGTCCTTTAAATAGATGTGCTATTTAGTACATAATAGCACAGAATAGAATAATAGTGCTAGAGAGCACTGCTTGATTCTGGGCTTGTACGGCGAGTGTCTTCAAAGTGGTCAAACCTGTGGCGCAATCAGCCTAGACAGGCTGTTCAGTATGCTACACTCCCTGCTGAAACTTAAAAACAAAAGTAAATTGAACTCTACACCTAGTCCCAAACTCTGCTTCTTTCTCACAGGAAAATCATGTGGAACTCCCCCAGAACCCATCAATGGCATGGTGCAAATAATCACAGATACTCAATTTGGATCAACAGTTCATTACTCTTGTAATGAAGGGTGAGTTGGGAGCACTATCCCTGAGTTATGAGTTCCAAACAACAAGGCTATCTCTGACTTAGTCTAACACAAGCAAACTACAGTATCCCCTGCATTTCAAAAAGTTAGCAACGAGGACTGCTGGATAGACATGTTAGTCAAACACTGGCGTATGATCAAAGGAATATAAAAAAGAAAGTAGTAGCAATCTGTATTCGTATTTTATTTTTACTTATGTGTTTGAGAGAGAGAGAGAGAGAGAGAGAGAGAGAGAGAGAGAGAGAGAGAAAACTAGTTTTGGGGAGGAACAGACAGAGGGAAAGAGAGATAATGAGAGACAGAGCAGACTCCCTGCTGAGCCGGAAGGCCAACACAGGGCTTGATCCCAGGACTTGGAGATCATGCCCTGGGCTGAAGGCAGACTCTTCACCTACTGAGCCACCCAGGCATCCCTGTATTTGTATTTTAGTGAGGGGAGGGTACCAGGCTCCTGTTGAAACCTGGTAAGATAGTCACTGGATCAAAAAAGACCAGCGTGCTAAATCAGTAAAAGGAAAAATGCTAGCAAGAACCCTGCATGTGCCATTCTTAACTAAGATTAGCCAGTTCTATAGGTGGGCTGGAGGACCTTGAAGTAGGGATTGGAGAGGAAGTCTTAACGTAACAGCTCTGGGAAGTGAGTGGGAACATTAATGGAGTTCTTGCCCTCAACTTTTCCTTGGCCCAGGAAACCATGCTAGAAACCATTGCCTCAACATAGAGGGAGCAATGAAACAATGTGTACTACTTGTCAGCTGGCACCAGAAATTCAGAGACAAACACAGAACTTTATTGGACTCTAGGATTTTTATCTGAAAATGCACATGCAACCCAGATGCCAGTGGAGCTCAACTACCCTTAGAGGGGAGAGCTGGTTAAACTGGACACAAGCATCAATCCGTATCTGCAAAGTATAGATTCTGTCCTCATCACCGCCCTCCTGCCACCAATAAGAACTTCTGATTTTTTAGTTCACCAGGCCTTCAAATCACTGTAGCCTCAGTCCACATCAGTGACACATCAAGAAGGTGAAAAGAGAGCCCACAGATAAATGTAAATCATTTCTCTGACAAGGGTTTACTATACAGAATATACAAAGAAGTCCTGCAATGCAACAACAGAAATGTTTACAATGCAATTTTAAAAATTGGGCAAAGGATTGGAATAGACATTTCTCCAAAAAGGATGTACAAATGTCCAGGAAAACCATGAACAAATACTCAACATTATTAATCATTAGAGAAATGCACATCAAACCCACTTCACACCTAATGGGATGGCTATCATAATAATTTTTTTGATGAAGCGAGGGCAGGATGTGAGAAATATGGAATCCATTTGGCTGCTAGTGGGATAGCTAGTGGGCATGTGAATTCGGGTAGCTGCTGTGGAAAACTGTTCGGTGATTCCAAAGTTAACATGGAATTACCACGTGACCCAGCAATTCCAATCCTAGGTATGTATCCAAACGGATTGCAAACAGGGAATCTGACAGATGTGGGTTTATCAGCTGTCCCACCTATTTTTAAGTACATCCTAATAAATTCTATTTTTTCTACAAAATGACACATTTCACAGATGTTTTCAATTTCATTAGGATAGAGAGGAAGTAGTTTTTTGCAAAGTATTTTATAATGTATATTCATAAAGTTTCTTCAATATATATATAATAACAATAATTTCTCATTCATGTGTATCTGTAGATGCATGATTTTTTGAAGTCACCATTGGGCAAATTCTATTTGTTTAATCAGCCACTTTAAAGGAACTCCTCTTAGATATACTTATCATTTCATTCTATTTTTCTTACTTACTGATTGATTTTATTAATTCCCCAGATCAGCTTCCTTTATTTCATGTATATAGCCTTTAATAAAACATTCTAAAATAAATTATTGGGTTCATGTAAATGAATTTTTTTTCCTTTTTATTTTTTGAAAGATTATTTTATGGAGAGAGAGTGAGAGAGAGTATGAGGGTTGAGGACAAAAGGACAAGCAGATTCCCCACCAAGTGCAGAGCCTAATGTGGGGTTCCATTCCAAGACCCTGGGATCATGACCTGAGCCATAGTCAGATTTTTTTCTTTTTTTAAAAAAATATTTATTTATATTTATTCAGATAGAGACAGAGAAAGAGAGAGGCAGAGACACAGGCAGAGGTAGAAGCAGGCTCCATGCAGGGAGCCCGACGTGGGACTCATCCCGAGTCTCCAGGATCACACCCGCGGCTGCAGGCGGCGCTAAACCGCTGCGCCACTGGGGCTGCCCCAAAGTCAGATTTTCAATGGACTGAGCCACCCAGGCACCCCTGAAATTTTTCTTGTCACATAACCAAAGAACTGAATATTCCTCTAAGGACACTTTTGGCATCAGCATCCCAGGAATTTTCAAAAAGTAATATTTGCATCAGCACTTTTAATGAAGATACTGAATACACTGAATAATGTAAGGTTTATCACCAGAGGCTGTTGAAGCCCATGGACATTATTCAAACTCTAAACCGACTACCTAACTGGTGAATTTGGACATATTTGCTCAAACCGCGGTTTTCTCTTTTGTAAAATGGGCTCTATGCATAATATTCACTTCAAAGAGCCATTTTAAAGATGAAGTAAGTGAGTCCCTGTAAAGCACTGTTTGTAGCATGTGACTCACTGATCATGTGTTATTGTTATCCTGTAGTAATCTGCAAGGGCTATTTTACTTTTGTCTTTGACCAAGATCCAAAACTTTGGATTTTGTATTTGTTCTGTGGTTGTTGATTCCTAGAGTTACTGTTTTGTAATAAGAGTGTAGAGCGGTTTTGATTTCTCCTTTGTGCTAATTCACTGCAGTACACTCTGCCGAGTGATGTGTTACAACTTTTATAAATGGCTCCTAGAAAGAAAGCTTACATTCTCTGTGACAAAGTTTAACGCACACTGGAATGTGCTGAGGAATCATGTCTGTAAGCTACTTTTTATCATCTGCAGCCTATTGAAAGTCTTCATATGTTCCTGCTACTCCAAACTAGTTCAAAGTCCATGGACACCAGGAAGAATGGAAGTAGCACCACATTCCAGCCCTTACTTATCCCATCCCTGACGTATGGAATGGGCTGTCCAATGATGTCTCAGTATGCTTCTGCACAGTGTGTCTATTGCTCATAGGGAAGGGAATCTCAAGGCTCTTCTTTATCAGTGGTTTAGCTTCATGGCCACCCGAATTTCTAATGCCCGGGGAAGCTAAGGGTTAGGCTTGACTAAAAGAATTTCAGAGAGATGGGAAATCAAGTCAGCAAAAATTACAACAGAATTCCTACTGGAGCATTTTAGTGACTCCACTCTACTTTCAAAAATATTCCAGTTTTGTTTTGTTTTTTACAGCCATACATAGGCCTGAACCTGCTTCACATTTTTTAACTCCAATTCTTTAATGTAGTCATAGTGAACACGTTAAGTGCAAACTTGTATAATCAAAAGTCAGGGGACACCCATGATCCTGTGCCCTTAAGACAACTGTTAAATGCATGATGGAAGAGGGGCAGAAGGAAATACATGAGCGCCTCTGAAATTGTTTTTCCAAAGAAATATTGAAAAATAAATATTGGTTGGCACATCTGAAAAGATTTTGCAAAATAGCCAATACAAAAACAAGGAGCAATAAGTAAAAATCATTATAAATGATGTATAAAAGTGACTACTGTTTCATGTGTGTACCAAAGTACTCACTGTCATTGCTATACCCACATAGTTCCTGTCATCCTTATAGCACTGTATTTGGAAGACCTGGTATATAAGTTAGGATTTGTTTAAGCTGTTAAAGACAGAGCATACAAAATCACAGAGGCTTAAACAAGATAATAGTTTACTTCTCTCTCAGGCTAAGAAGTGGAGGCAGTCGTTTCAGAAAAACGGTAAAATATACAAATCCAGGGCTGAGAGGTAGCTCCATGATCTACATAAACCTGGGATCCTTCCATTTGAGACTCCATGGCATCACATGGTGCGACTCCAGCCAGAAAAGAGAAACACTGGAAGAAAGGAACACCTATTCCTTCAAAGACACTTTCCAGAATTTCACAAGACACACTAGGTGTATCCCTGTAGTCAGAACTTTGTCACATGGCTATACACAATCGTAGGGAACCTTCAAGGAAGGTGGCCAATGGCTCAGTTAAAAATACAGGGTCCCTCACTAATGAAAAAGGAGGGCACCTGGGTGGCTAGGTTGGTTAAGCACCTGCCTTCGGCTCAGATCATGATCTCAGGTCTCTGGGATGGAATCCCACATGGCATCGGACTCCCTGCTCAGCAGGAAGTCTACTTGTCCCTCTGCCTCTTCCCCTCACCCCTGCTGTGGTGCTCTCTTCTTTCTCTTGCTCACTCTGCTTTCTTTCAAATAAGTAAATAAAGTCTAGAAAGAAAGAAAGAAAGAAAGAAAGAAAGAAAGAAAGAAAGAAAGAAAGAAATAAGAAAGGAAGGAAGGAAGAAAGAAAGAAAGAAAGAAGGAAGGAAGGAAGGAAGGAAGGAAGGAAGGAAGGAAGGAAGAAAGAAAGAAAGAAGAGGAAAGTAGTATTAGAGATACCAGTAGACTCTGACAAATTCTTAGCTATTCCCATAACTACTCACTATTCAATGACATTCATTGCATTAGACCCCTTACCTTTTACTTGATCTTCATCAAGCTTAACCCTACTCTACATGGAGCATGTGAATAGCTCGGTTCGATATCCTGAATGACATTTCTCACAGTGACAGTATAGATACCTAATAAATAAAAATGAATTTGAAATGTTCCAACCTTTGTGACCTACTTTGAGTGATCTTATGGCACAATAGGTAAGGACCCCTGCCTTTCACCTTTGACTCTTCTTCGTAAAGCCATCATCCTATCCTTCACTCAACAGATAGATTTTGAGTACCACATGATTGAAAGTCTCTAGGGGAGGTGCCAGAGAATGGGATTATTTTAATAAGACATCTCCCTGTTAATCCAGGAGCTTATTATTTCCTGGAGTGGAAGTAAACATAGATAATGTAGCTCTTTAAAAGAAAAAAAATGATTTTATTTATTGGACAGAAAGAGAGAGCACAGCAAGGAGAGAAGCAGAGAAATAGAGAGAAGCAGGCTCCCTGCTCAGGACCCCAGGATCATGACCTGACCCAAAGGCAGACGCTTAACCGACAGAGCCTCCCAGACACTCCTAAAATAGCTTTTGAGGTTCCCTAAAGACAAGTACAAAATGTCGCATGAGGAAGGGAATTACTGCATTCAGTGGTGAGGGTCTAGCAATCAACATGGATGACAGTGGTAAGAGAATGTAAACTTGTCCTTAGAAATAAAGGACCAATTTGCAGATGCAGAGGTTCACACATCTCCTGTGTCTTAATCTGCCCGTGATGTCTAACATCTACCTGCAATGATTTCCTCAGGATGACTTAAGTAGGAAACCAGTGTAGGGTAGAATCATTTCTCACTCTTTGCTTCTAGGTATCGACTCATTGGCTCCCCTTCCGCTGCGTGTCTCCTCTCGGGCAGTACTGTCACTTGGGATAAGGAAGCACCTATGTGTGAAAGTGAGTTGAAGTGTTGTTTTGCCCTAATTCTCTCCGCTCCATCCAAGTCTGCCCCAGGTTATGAAGAAGAAATCCAATCCGTCTTGCAGAGAGTAGTCTGTCAGACACTTGAAATTTGGGAGTCCTGTGTGTGCCACATCGCCCCCCGAATGTTTCTCTATTTTAGGAGGTTATTTATCTAACACTGAATCTGAACTCAGGTAAAATTGCCCTCCTTTCCTGCTTTGAGAGTGAACACTCTGCAGTGTAAAGATTTCCCTCGCTTTTAGGATTCATTCTTGATCATTGATTTTTGCCTTTCATTACCAGATATCTCGGATGGGTCTTTTTGCAATGATATCGTAGGGGTGTTCCAGAGTGTTCTATTAGCTTCCTGGATTTGTACGTTTAATGCCTTTCTCATGTTAGGGAAATTCTCAGCTGCTATTTTTCTTAAGACACTTCTTGTTCCCTTCTCCCTTTCTTCTTCTTCTAGGAGACCAATTATATTTGTTTTTCTCACATCTAATATCTCTCATAGGGTCTCACCAATTCTTAAAACTCCGAGTTCTCTCTCCTCTTCTGTCCTCTAGATCATTAATTTGTTCTTCATTCTAATCTGTCCTTTTTCCTAAACTCTCTAATCTGTTCTTCAACTGATGCATTAAATTTGTCATCTCCAGACTTTCTGTCCAGTTTGTTTGTTTTAGAGATACAGAAAACTTTATTGTGCATGAATAAAAGGGTGGTTTAGTTGTGTCTAGTTCTTTTTTTTTTAAATTTCCGTCTCTTTGATAGAGAGTTCTTTTTTGTCAAATTTTTATTTAAATTCTAGTTAGTTCCCATTCAGTGCAATATTGGTTTCAGGAGTAGAATTCAGTGATTCATCATTAATGTACAACACCCAGTGCTCATCAGAACAAGTGCCCTCCTTAGTACCCAGCACCCACTTAGCCCATCCCCACTCATCTCCCTCCATCAACCCTGTTTGTTCTCTGTCATTAAGCGCCTCTTATCATTTGTTCCCCTCTATCTCCTTTTGTTTGTTCCCCATATCTTATGTTCACCGGTTTTCTTTCTTAAATTCTACATATGGGTGAGATCATATGGTATTTGTCTTTCTCGAACTTATTCCACTTAGCATAGTTCTCTAGCACCATCAACGTGGTTGCAAAGAGCAACATTTCATTCTTTTTGATGGCTGAGTAATTTTCTACTCACATGTATACCACATCTTGGTAAGAACTCTATTCAGTAATTTTTTAAAAAGATTTTATTTATTCATGAGAGACACGGAGAGGCAGAGACATAGGCAGAGGGAGAAGCAGGCTGCATGCAGGGAGCCCAATGTGGGACTCGATCCTGGGACCGAAGGTCATGCCCTGAGCTTAAAGCAGATGCCTGGGCAGCCCAGGTGGCTCAGCAGTTTAGCGCTGCCTTCAGTCCAGGGCCTGATCCTGGAGATCTGGGATCAAGTCCCATGTAGGGCTCCCTGCATGGAGCCTGCTTCTCCCTCTGTCTGTCTCTCTCTGTGTGTCCTTCATGAATAAATAAAAAAAAAAAAATCTAAAAAAAAATAAAGCAGATGCCCAACCGCTGAGCTACCCAGGTGTCCCTCTATTCAGTAATTTTATTCCTCAGTTCACTGAAATGCCTTTCTGAGTTTTCCTGTAGCTCGCCGAATCCCTTCCTAATAGCTCTTTTGAATGATCACTTCGATTGCAATACTCCATGCCTCTGAGCTGAATTGCTGGAGAATCAACTTTACCTCTTTGCCACATGATATTCCTGTGTCTTGTCTCTTTTTTCCACAGTGTTTGGCAATGTATCTCTGCCATCCCATCTGAAGTAGCACATACCCTATTTCTTTACTGCAGTTCAACACTTGGAATTCAAAACCGTTCCTTTGATTTCCAGAAGGGGGAGCGATATCTCAAGTCTCTGGTATCTCTTTCCCTGCATTGCCTCCAGGCTGCATTGGGGAGCACTGGAGCACTTTGAAACAGCTGATGGCAGAGTTGGGGGAGGTTGGATTTAGCACCTGTTGTGTTGTTGGTGCCCACAGCCCACCAGGGGGACCCTCAAGTCAGGACTCCCAGAGGCCTGACAGCAACCTCCTGCTGATCCCAAAGCTGATAGCCAGGGATCAGGCTCCTTCAGTGCCCTTTGTTATTCTTGTCTGCCTCTCTCCCTTTCCTCCCTCCCCTACTTGCAGAAGTCTCCCCTCAGAAATCTGTGCAGCTGGAGGGAAGTGGGTCCAGTGGGTCACTCAATCGCTTCCACTTTCTCCTCCTCTGTGATGGACGTCACTGGCCCCGAATTGGGAGTGGGCGCCTCAAGATCCTCCTTCTTCTCTGCCTCCAAACTCCTCTCTGTCCTGCCTGGATGGGCACCTGCTTCTCCTGTAAGGCTGGCTGGACTTCTGCGAATGTGCTGTCTTTGGTGCGTATCCAGTATGCTTGGCTCTCTCCGGTTTTGCTTTTTCCTCAATTGCAGCAAATATGTACGGGCAATGCCCCCCCGCACCCCACCCATCCCATTCCCTTGGATTCTAACTCCCTTGGATCCATAGCAGCCTCCAAGATACTAGCCACTTACATTTTGAAGCACAGGTGCGTAGAAATGTAATGTACAGAACCACCTTTGTTTGTTTGTGAACCACCCTTTCAATCTGGATTTTGTTAAAATATCTTGCTAGAAATCTATTTGGACATCTTATGGGATTGTCATGGAACTTTATAGGAACATTCAATATGAATGAAACTCAGATATCCAACAAACTCTACCTTCCTGAGACATAGTAATCTGAATGTAAATACATAAGTAAGCTTTAGATAAACACAAACACAAAAATCCAGATAGGAGAACTGAATCATGTTTGCTATACTAAGGCCTTCACTTTCTTTATTCACACACTTCTGACAGGCTGGGTATCTGTTCCTAAAGTCACTGCAGACTCAAAGCATCAAAATAGTTTTTGGGAGAGAACTGCTAGAAAGAGATATACTTAAAGCAGAAAGAAATGACAGCCAGTCACTTGGATGAAACAAAAAAAAGGGGGGGGGGGAAACAGGCTCCCTAGAGCACTTAATCTGGCTCTGAACAGCCCCATAAGAATCAATGGATTCTGAAGACGCTACTGTGTATTTGGTATTGGTACTGATGATAATGGTCTTGTTCATCAAGAAACTTTTACATCTGGGCTGAAAATGACAGTCTATGTTTCATAAGGATTCATTAAGATTTCTTTGCAACTTCAGATCTCTGAGGGCCAACTTCATCTGTCTGATGCCCCTAGTATCAACCCAGGACTGTCTTTATGCCACACATCAAGCTGGCAGACAACAGCGGCCGAAAAAGAAATTAGTTGCTTTTCAGAATGTATCTAGGCTACCTGGAGGGTCTGGGGCTTTTGCAATAAGCTGTAATTCAAGTTTTACTTCTGGTAGTTCTGTCTCAGAAGAAGCCTTACATATTTAAATCCACCCACCTTAGTTGTGTTCTCAGGGAAAAAATACAGTCTCAGGGCACCGTGGTTGTATGATGATGTTGACTGAAACTCTAATGCAACCTAAAGTTCGTGCTTGCTTCTTTCTTTCTTTCTAGAAATCTTTTGTCCAAATCCTCCATCTATCCCTAACGGGCACCACACTGGAACTTCATGGGGACGCATTCCCTATGGAAAAGAAATTACTTACACGTGTGACCACCACCCAACCAGCGGGATGATCAACCTCATAGGGGAGAGCACTATTCGCTGCACAAGTGACAATCAAGGGAACGGGATTTGGAGCGGCCCTGCCCCTCACTGTGAACCTGCTGGTCCTACAGGTCGGTGCATATTTCCATATCCCCATATAGATCAAAATATCTAGGTGAGAACCTCCCTATTCCTATGGGGACAGTCACTTTTGCTTGTGAATTTTCCTCTCTGATAAAAGACACACAGAAATACCTTCCAGGCAAATAACTTACAGGTTCTAGATGTTCTATGCTGTGTCCCATTTGTTGGTACTCTGATGACCCTTCCTGCAGGGGTGAGGAATGTGGAAGAGTGAGAAGAAGAGGTGGAGAGTGAGGAGAATCAGCAAGGCTCAGAACTTATAGAGAATATTTTCAAAGCACTAGAACAAATGCCAAAGAAAATACTTTTTCGTGTCATCTGTATTAAAAGTTGTATTTAGGGTTGCCTGGGTGGCTCGGTCAGTTGAGTGGCTGATTCTTAATTTCATCTCAGGTCTCAATCTCGGGGCTGTGGGTTTGGCCAAATTCAACTCCCTGTTGGGCTTGGAGCCTACTTAAAAAAAAAAGAAAGTAAAAAGTTGTTTTTATATCGATAGATGAGTGTGGGGAACAAAAAGCACATGTTGATAGCTTCAGATTTGATGCTATAGAAACAAAGAAACTATGATGTAGTCATTTGTACTCCTTTTCTTACTTCTAAGTATTCTGCTCAGCCCGACTGCATTTTGTTGATGCTTTGTTTCACTTTTAGCAAGGAGGACTCAAGATACCTTAGAAAAGTAGAGATCAAGGTTATGCTCTTGGCCACTCATCCTTTTACATATTTGTCTGCTGTTAAATGATAGTGCCTGACAATTGGGGCTCATTTGTGGCTGTGATTGTCCACATCGGCTCCGTGCCCCAGTGAGGACAGACAACACTGTCTGTAGGGCCTAGTGGTATTCCCATCTGATGTGGTTTGCAGGTAGAGAATACAGATGATCCTGTTTAAGGCGGAGATGTCTACATTTAAAGCATTAGTCTTCCCACTGATAGGTAAATAAGTAGCGCTTTGGGGCCTGTCCTTCCTTGGGTCTTCCTGTGTCTCTAATAGTTAGAAATATTATTAGATGTGTTGGCATATTTGTATTTCTTTGGTTTTTTTTTTATTTTATTTATTTATTCATGAGAGACACACAGAGAGAGGCAGAGACATAGAGGGAGAAGCAGGCTCCCTGCGATGAGCCCAATGCAGGACTTGATCCCAGGACCCCAGTATCATGCCCTGAGCTGAAAGCAGATGCTCAACCACTGAGCCACCCAGGTACCCCAGTATTTAACTGAATATCTTTTCTTTTATTTGGGGGCATCTTGTTCTTAGCATGCCCATATCCACCCAAGATCCACAACGGGCATTACATTGGAAGACATGTGTCTCCGTATCTTCCTGGGATGATCGTCAGCTATGCTTGTGATCCAGGCTACTTGTTGGTGGGAAGAGCCTTCATATTCTGTACCTACCAGGGAACCTGGAGCCAATTTGATCATTATTGCAAAGGTATTTCTTATTCTTGCTGGGCTTTTTAATGGAAAATTGACGCATGAGACTGATAAGGCTGGAAAGATTGTGAAATGAGTGTTGGTAGAGGGGGGGAGGAAAGCAGAAAAAAAAAGACAGGAAGGAGGCTGCCCAAGGATTCTCAGCTCTGCCAAATTAGTGGAAGAACTGATGGGATTTCCAGTAACACAGGAGATGTTAAACACCAATTTAAAATGCTTTGCAGGCTTTTAACTAGTAATAAATCTCAGCTCCAAAGGACCTCAGGGGGTCACAAGGGGTCCTCACAAATACCTTAAAGAGATACAAGAAGCACTTTCTTGTGAGGAAAACTGAAGCATGGAATCAAGTTGAGAGCAATTAATTTCTGGAATTACGGAACAGGGGTCCTCATTATAATTTGCATGACCAAAGGTGAAGTGCTTATTTCATCTCTTCCCTAGAACAAATGCCAGGATCTACTTCCTTTATTCCTGTTTGCAAAACTTGTATCTGAATTTAGAATCATGATTTACTATCTTCTTTGTTCTATGAATAGAAATGGAGCCAGAAACATGCATTTAATCAAGAAGCAAAATACCAGTATCTGTTGTACAGCTACAAGAGAGTTCATGTGATATACCTGTTTCCTTCTGGTGTGACTGAAGTGGTTCCAGGGTTAGAACGTGGTTATCCTAACTCCCAATCTTTCCACAACTTTCCAGTTGCAGAGTTGTCAACAATTAAAAGTGGATGTGTGTCATACATTGCATACTCTCTTGCTTTACCCAAGAAATTAAAGTCAGAGGATTTAAAATCTTAAGATGTTGGGTGGGTGTCAATAGTTCTTGACTGAAAACATGACTCCTCTTTGCTGAAGGCAAAGTAGTTCAGGATCATAGAGCCCTCCATTTGGTAAGTTTTCAACTAACAATTAACAATAAAATATCTATTTTCTTCTGATTTTTCTAATTTCAGAGATAAAATGTATCCTCCCAGAGTTTATGAATGGAATCCAGAAGAAGTTGCACATGAGAAAAGTATACCACTATGGAGATAATGTAACTTTTGAGTGTGAAGTTGGGTATACTCTAAAAGGCAGTCCCCAGAGTCAGTGTCAGGCGGATGACACATGGAACCCTCCTCTGGCCATATGTACATCGAGTAAGTGCAGCTGCAAGACATGTAGGTCCTTCCTTAGTCATTGTTCCTATTCATTCATTCATCTCTACCATCATTGAATGTGGTGTGATGCTTATGGTACCTGCTAAATGCTAAGGAGTACAGGAGGAGCTCCTAGTTCTTCCAGAAAGCCCTTAGCCATGCAAGTAAGGCAAGCCTTGTTCTCGCACTGCTCTCAAATGCATTCATCTCTCCTCAGGACTCCCTCTGAAACTTCTCTGTCTATATTACTCTATTGTTGATTGCATGGCGTAGTAATGATTTGTTTGGAGCCTGTGGGCCTTAAAAGTCAGGAGTAGGAGTAGAGCAGGCCTTCAATATTTCAACATGAGTGAGGTGTTGCGCGCTCTGCGGCAACACGATCAGGGTCCCAAGGGTAAGGGGATGAGGAAAAGAAAAGAAAAGTAAAGAAATGGAGACAGGAGGGACACAGTGGATGACGTCCAAGCAGTGCCAGCTTTATTCAAGGTTCTACAATATTATATAGCATGAGCAAAACAAAGCTAAGAAGGTATCTATTTTTAGCATGTTTGTGAAACCCTCCAAAGCTCCCCTTTTTCAGCATGCAAGACAGACCCACTGGTGTCAGAAGACCTTGGTAAATAGGTAAGCTTGTTGCTCCAGATATGCATACTTCAAAGGAATATTAGATATGGTTAACAGACCAGCAAGGACAGCACAGACCCTTATTTACATTTATGACCAGGCCAGAATAAATTCTATCTATTGTGTTATGTGGGCGATCACGTACAAGTGAGCTCTGAGAACCACTGCTCAAGCCCTTTCTCAAGCATCAACCAATTATTTACACTTTAGGCTCCCGAGCCTTTTGAGTGAATGAGGGACACAAGTCCGGGCCTGGTTTGGTTCAGTTACTCCAGCTAGTCCGTGGTCACACACAGTGAGGAACACTTTCCAAGGTGCAGAGACAAGTAGGTGGTGTCCCTCACTGGTGTAGGCCACAGGGTTTTAAGTTGGTACAGCTGGATAGAGCAGATTTAGAAATCATGTATCTTAAATTGCACATGAGTCAAATCATATGGTATTTGTCTTCCTCTGGCTTATTTTTCTTAGTATAATACCACCTAATTCCATCCACATTGTTGCAAATGGCAAGATTTCATTCTTTTTCATGGCTGAGTAATATTCCATTATATATATAAATTATATATTACATATATATGCTGATGATATAAAGATGATCATATGCTATATATATAAACATCTTCTTTATCCATTTAAGAACAAAACATATGAACATAGGGGAAGGGAAGGAAAAACAAAATAAGATAAATTCAGAGAGGGAGGCAAACCATAAGTGACTTTTAACTCCGGGGAACAACCTGAGGGTTGCTGGAGGGGAGGAGTGTGGGGGGATGGGGTAACTGGGTGATGGGGAGGGACTGAGGAGGGCACTTGATGTAATGAGCACTGGGTGTTGTATTCAGCTAATGAATCATTAACTCTGCCCCTGAAACTAATAACACACTATATGCTAACTAAATTAAATGTAAATGTAAAAATCATTAAACAAAAAAGAAATCATGTATCATTGAGCTCCATAGAAGAGTAGCCCTCTGCTGGCAACTCTCTAGTTGATATAAGATAGTGATATAAGATAACTTTAAACTCGTACACACCAAGTTGCTGATAAAATTAACAATGTATAATCATCCTTAATTGAAATTAGTGCTAGGCTGTCCTCCACAATTTCTAGAACTCTTTTTTATAATACATGATTGAATACTAAGATTGGTCAAGATCTATTTTTTGTAGTTAATCCCTTAAACATGTTAACCAAGCTGACTCACATATTTCCGAATTATGAATTTGACACTCCTTTAAAGTCAAATTATATTTGCTTCTTTGGAAAAAACCTCACTGTTGAACTGACTGGATGCCTTTAGAGTATTCTGAAGATGTGGCTGTGAGAGAGAGAAAATTTGCATAATTGGAGGAGCAACCCTATCACATAGCAAAGCAAAACATAAAGCCACAATATATGTCACTTTATGCCAGCACAAAAAATAAACTTATTTTTATAAAGTGGAACAAAATGGATGTTAATAAAATAAAGGCTATTATAAAAAATAAAAGTACCTTACAGATAAAATATAGTAACAGACACCAATTCCTGGGAAAGGAAAAGATGATCATATGCTATAGGTAGCACTGAAGAAAATTTAGACCCTTTCATTTTATCTTATAATAATTACCAGATTAAATAAAGAGTTAGAAGTTTGAAAAGTGAACATGGAAGAGCTAAGGTAAAACATAAAAAAAGATATTTATGAAACAGCTAGAAGACCAACTTTTTGAACTTTCTGATAGCAGAGAGAAAATCATAAAATGTCAACAAAATTGACTTAGATTTTATGTACTTTAAAAAGTAAACTAGAAGACACTAGCCAGATGAGAAATATGTACAAATATAATGGAGGGTTAATAGTGTTATCATGTAAATAGTAGTCACGGTGGTTGTGATTGTACAAGTTGACACATTGAGCACTTAATCCCACTGCTGAAATACTAGAGAGATTCTATCATTATATAAAAACTTAGATCATGGGAAAATATCCTGGAAAGGAATGTACCAGAACATTTCAGGATATTTTTTTAAAAAATCAATGGTTCTCAGCCAAAGCGATTTTGCTTTCCAGAGAACACTGGCAAAGAAGAAAAAAAAAAGACAAGAAATCACTTGATGCTTCCTCAGTGAATACTGATTATAACCAGAATTTTCAAGTTCTTACATCCTGGGACTTCATTTCATATATGCCCTAGGAAGAGAAGTCCACTAAAAAAAATGAGACACATTCTTAACAATACAGGAGAAAATTACAGGGACTCTTATTTTTACTTCACATATTTCTGTATTATTTGATACTATTACATTTGTGATGAAGAAAAAAATATATATATATTTTAAGCAATAAACACAAATATCCATCTATTAGTGCTTCCAATATGACAAGCACTTCTTTGAGTCCTTTACAGTTGTTCTTTTAATTTTATGAGTTCTTGAGCAAGTTCATGATTATACCCCCCCAAAATTGTCCCATTAAGTGGTTTTCAAGATTAAGTGGGGAGAAATATATCTGTACACTTATATAAATATATAGATATATAAAAGCGCCAAGAGGTCAGGAATTTTTGCCTATTTCACTTCTATGTCCCCAGTACCCTGAAATAGCTCATATGTGCTCAATAAATGTTTAGGGAATGAATGATCCTATGAGTTAGATGTACTGTGATCTCTACTATACAGATAAGATAAATGAGATACAGAGAAATCAACTAGCATGGCAAATATATGGCTACTTAGAAAAAAAAAAGGATTTTTAAAAGGGCCAATTTGACTCCAAGGACTTGCACCCTCTTCTATCATTCTATCTTCTTTAAGATTTTATTTATTTATTCATGAGAGACACACAGAGAGAGGCAAAGACATAAGCAGAAAGAAGCTGGCTCCCTGCATGGAGCCTGTTGTGGGACTCCATCCCAGGACCCTGAGATCAAGAACTGAGCCAAAGGCAGTGCTCAAACACCGAGCCACCCAGGTCCCCCTATCATTCTATTATGATTCTTTTTAAAGCTGACAAGCTGAAAGAGACAGAAGTAGAATTAGTCCTAGAAAAGTAAGATTGATTTAAGGCTCTCTAGTCCATGAAAACCTATTAGAGGCATCCTGAAATAATAGCTTCCAGAAATAGCTTTCTGGAACTGAATGTAGAAAAAGGTAGTTAAAAAAAAAAAAAAAAAAGGTAGTTAGGCAGGCATACTCTGCCTAGGCACCTGGAGAAATGTACACAATTTTAGGACAGTTTCACCAAGAAAAAAATTTTCAGGGTATTAGGATAATGTGTGGTATTTTTCTTTTATACAGTTTTACAAATTCTCTGCTGAAATTGTTATTGTGTGATAAAATTGTAAGTTAAAAAGAAAAAAACACATACTTTGCTGAGTGCACAATATAAAAGTTGTTGTGTGAGGGAGATCCATGGCTTTTTATATTACAAAAACAGTAGACTGTATGCTGAAAAGAAATCAGGATGAATCGTCCCCGGCTGAAAGCGCCTGTTTGATCCTGCTGCATGCCACACTTGTGTCATCCTGGCTTTTGTCTTCCCTTCAGGCACACGGGATGCTCTCACAACTGGTAAGTTTTGAGAAGGGTTTGATGAGGAGCTCTAGCACCTTTCACAGTAAGTATTCACTTACAATGAAAGAAACGTAAAATGAGAGATCAACATCTCTTACAATTCCAGCTGGAAGGAAAGAAAGTCAAAATTCAGGCCACAGTGTGGCAAGATTGGCATCCCTACAGGCATGTAGAGTGAGTATCCTTTATGGAAGTTTCTTAAAAATAAAAAAAAAAGGATTTTATTTATTTATTCATAAGAGACACAGAGAGAGAGTCAGAGGGAGAAGCAGGTTCCCTGTGGGGAGCCCAATACGGGACTCGATCCCAGGACCCCAGGATCACGCCAAGCCAAAGGCAGACACGCAACCACTGAGCCACCCAAGCGCCCCCTTTATGGAAGTGTCTACGCTGGCTTTGAATTGTTACAAATGAATAAGCAACCTTCCTTTTCTAATGGAGCTGGAGAGCACAACTTCCTCTTTGGTTGATAACCCGGGAAGCTTCTCAGGATGGTAGTTGTGTTCACTTGCACAAACTGGAAGCCACAGAGCCCAATCTCCTAAGCCCATTTCCATGACCTGCCTACATAAGAGGAGTGGTTTTGGGGTAGACTTTGCTGCCTAGAAGAGCTTGTGCCTGTGTCTAACACGAAGACAGAGGAGTTTTAGGTCCTGGGGTGCCGGAGGCAGGAGCTCCAGTGCTGTTCTCACCTATTTGCTGAAAGGCTGCTCTGGATTAAAGGTCACAAACTGCTCTGCTCACCCCTCATGTAGTAAGGACTAATGCAGTAGATTAAACCAGGAGCAGAGGGTAACTCTTAAAGGAAAGCCTGTGTGAGATGTTTCTTAAAGTAGTTACATTTTAAAATATATATAAATAAAATAAATAAAACATTTAGCAATGTATATAATAAATAAACATTTATAGTTACATATAAAAAACTCACTGGCAACCACTAGGGGGGGCTAGATATTTAGAGTTTAAAACCTATGGGTTATATTTTCCATGCATTCAGTGACCCTGTTTTACCTCCTAGGCCTTGTCTTTGGTGTGATCTTTCTCTTATTCATCATTGTTTCCTGTTGCATAATTATAAAGCACAGAAAACGGTAAGTACAGCCATATTCTTCTAGAAAATGTCTACAACTGTACCTGCCTCTTCTTGAAAGCCAAAGAGAAGTAAAAGAAAACTTAAACCCTAAAAAACACAAAACACTACTACATAAACAGATAAAATAACGTAATTATAAAGAAGGCTCTAGATGTACATTATAGATAGAGAAGTATTCACACCAAAAGAAATATATATAAGAAGAACATCTAAAAGAAAAAAAAAAAGCTTAGGATTTTAAGAAGGACTCAAGTTTTTCAAAAAAGAAAATAAACAGAAGGAACTTTTCCAAAGGTGTTGGTGAGGCAGTTCACATCCCACCTTGGCTCCAACCTGTATACACAGACCTTATCAAGGCACTAGAAGTTAGGGTGTCCACTGGCTGCTGTCACCTATAGGTTACCAGTGTGGAGAAACTGAGACTTGCTTTGGAGTATTAAAAAAAAAAAAAAAAAAAAACTTTTAAAACACCACTTACTTTTTAAACTTAGATGAAGATCTAAATAAAGCAGCATTTTGACTTTGGGAAAAGAATGTCTACAGCTTTTGTACTATTTAATTACAATAGAATCAGTGGGTCAAAGTCAATGAGATCAATGTTAAAAGCTTGATGAGCAAATTCTATACCCATGAGAAAAAAAAGTTTAGAACTTAAGTGAACAGCTTCCTATAGCAAACATTGTAAGCAAGCACAGTCTCCTAAAGCAGCTTTATAGAAATTGAAATTTTGGTATTTCCACAGAGGATGCCAATCCAATGTAAAGTTTTTAAAAAGCAGAATATCACAGCAGAACTTCTTGCAAACAATCTGTCATTCCCTCCCTCTGCTATACACTGGGCCTTCCCATGCCCTATTTAAAGTATTTGTCTCCTTGGTCTATCCTATACTCCTCAATATTCCTCTCCCTGGACAATGAGCTTTTTGTGAGCAGGGACTACCTATAGGCACTCAAAATCAGCTTTTGGGTGATTTCTTTTTAACTGAGGTATAACTGACATGTAACATTAGTTCTAGGTGTGCAACGTAATTATTTGGTATTTGTAATATATTGCAAAATGATAACCACAGTAAGTGTAGTTAAAAAATAATTGTTTTAAAAAAATAATTGTTTAATGATTTTTGACTTCCACTGGTAGTCAAGATTAATAAGAATAGCAAGAGCCAATACATTTGCTTACAAAATACTTTACCATTTATTGTCTTCTCCAGTTCCCAACTCTGTGAGGTAGGTAGGCCCAATAATATTGTTATGCCAAAGCAGAGAAGACTGAAGGGTACAGAAATTCAGCGACTTGCTTAAAAATCACCCCAGCAGGAGGCTGTTCAGGGGTAGGGCTTCAGTCCTGATGACTGAACTCAGAATCCTGAAACCCTTTGACTACCTAGAAATAATTTCAGCCATTTGTTTCTGAATCTGATTCTGTATTACCAAAACTACATATGGTACAAAGGTGGAATATTTCCTTTTTTCTTTCAACATTTTTCCCCATCTATTTTAATGATTTTTTTAATGATTTTTTTTTAAGTAACTCTGGTACATTAGGCCAGTATCCTTCTATAAAGAATAGCAAGCAATCTCTTCCTTTTCACTCTATTCTGAGCTATTAACCTATAAGAAAAATACAGTATTTCTGTAAGGGGTTCTGTTCTTATCAGGCTCTTCATTTGGCCTTATCAGGTTTACTGAAAACTTAGGGAACTCCACTCACACAGACTTAGAAGTTCTTTCTGTGACTTTTAAAAATCATTAGTGATAGGTACTTTTAGACTCTGAAGATCATGTAGATCAGAGCAAATTATGGTTTGGTGTGGGTCACTATTCATTGTCAAAGTTCATTTGGATGCTTTAATTATGTTTGATAAATAATATTCATTGAAAATGCTTTATTTTCGGATGCTTAATGGGGCAAATACTCAGGTTGAACTTTTTCATGCTTAATCTCAGGCTAAAATGTAACGGTTATTTGTAAAGTTTGAATAATATTCTGTTTACTCATCTCGAGTGACAGTATGTTTACAGGTTGAAATTGTTCATTTGTGATTAAAAAAACCTCATTGGCTTGGTATTTCACTAGTGAAAAAAATGCTATTATCTGCACACGTGGCATTTTACCGTGTATTTACTCTATCAGTACTTTACACAAATGTTAACGTAAGTCATGCCTTGATCACTGAGGAATAATACTGTTAGACTCCTCCATCCAGAGCCCGTTCATCCTTGCCTCTTGTTTCTGCCTCAGATCCACTGCCTTTTCTATATAGCCTTCTTGTCCGTAAGACAGCACTTTAAAGTCCTTGTTAGTATAATGCTTGGTGCGACAAAACTATTAAGGCCTCTCATTGCAAAGGCTCCCTGTTTTCCTATGTTCACCTTACCCACTGTATTAGAAAGCAGTCTTTCCTACCTGTCTTTCCTTCTGTGGGTACCTTAACTACACATAGAGAACACTTCACTTTTTTTTTTTTAATTTTAGAGATTTATTTATTTATTTATTTACTTACTTACTTACTTACTTATGATAGAGAGAGAGAGGCAGAGACACAGGATGAGGGAGAAGCAGGCTCCATGCTGGGAGCCTGATATGGGACTCGATCCTGGGACTCCAGGATCACACCCTTGGCCAAAGGCAGGCGCTAAACCGCTGAGCCACCCAGGGATCCCTGAACACTTCACTTTTAACTCCTGGTCACTATATATGTGTTTTCCCCACAACAAGCAATTCTGTGACATCAGCTAGGTGTCCTACAATTTAACTTAATTCAATTCTAAAACTTCCAAGAAATAATGTCAGATCCCACAGTTAAGAAAACAGTTCAAGACTATTCCCACCCTACTTTACATGCCAATCTCAAGTACAACTTGTCACCTGTGTTTCTGACAGAATGGACTATAAATCTGAAGTTCCCATGAACCCCTCCTGAGTTTGATTTAATTTACTAGAGCGGTTCACAGAACTCAGGGTAACATTTACTTCTGTTTATCCATTTATTAAATGCTATGATAATGCATATAATGAACAGCCAGATGGAAGAAATACATGTGTAGTCTGGAAGGGTCCCAAGCACAGGAGCTTCTGTTCCCAAGGAGATGGGGTGCATTATTCTTCCTATACATGGATACTTTTGCATACTAGGAAGCTCTCTGAACACTGTATCTTTGGGATCTTATGGAAGCTTGTTCATGTAGGCATGATCAATTATTAATACCATTTCAAGCCCTTCGCCCCTCTCTGGAGGATAGGGGATGGGGCTGAAAATTCCAACCTTCTAAACTTGGCTTGGTTGTTCTAGTGACCAATGAGCCATCCAGGTGCCATCCGAAGCTCACCCAGAGTCACCTCATTTACTTTTCTTTTTTCCAGTGGGCTCTAGGCCCAACATGAAGCTTGAACCCACAACCCTGAGGGACCAGAGTTGCATGCTTTTACCACGTGAGCTAGCCAGGTAGTCCCCCCAGAGTCACCTCTTTTGAAAAAAAGATTTTCCTAGGGCTCTTATCACTAGCCTTTAGAAGGGTTTTAGAATTATATCAGAGATGGTGTCAAAAAATAAATATTAAAACAACAGAGCATCCTAGTGCTCATATCACTGAAACTATATAAGCATTTCAGAGACCTGTGCCTGGTATCAAGGGAAGAAAGTAATACATATTTTCTATTATCTCGTAGCCACCATCAATCAACTGGATAGCCATTTATTCAACATACACTATGGTTGTATTTTTTCACACCTCATGCACCACTTACATCCAAGACCACTTTTAGGCTGTTCCTCAGCTAAGCAATCATTGCTTCTTGGAAGTCCCCCAAGAACAACTGTCGGTACAACCCTCTAATCTTCCTCATGCATGGATCTCAGGTTTGCCCTTGCTCATTCTCTGACCACTTTGGCTCCTGACTCCCAGTTTTCCTCCTTGTCTCAAGGGATATCCTTGTTCTAATTTCCAAGAAAAGGTAAAAGAGTAACTAGTAAATAGGAAGTACTGGAAAGTGGTGGAATGAGTTAGCTCTTTGTGCTTCCTCCCTAAGGTCCCTATTATCTAAAACATATTTGAAATCTCAAGGTACCAGCACTGAATCATTTATCATTTCATTTATGTACAATCAAGTGCTTACTTAACTCTGGAAGAGGCAGAGATCATGAGCTTTGCAATCAGTAAGAGATGTGTTCACATCACTTACTAGTATGAAACCCTCAGCAGGACACTTACCTTCTCAAAACCTCATTTTCCTTGTCTGTAAAATAGAGATAATCATTCTGACTTCACTTAGCATAGTGCCTCATTTAGGATGAAGGTCAGAAAATGTTAGCTATTGTTATTTTACACGTGACTGTTATTGGCATTTAGAAGGGATTAAATCCTTGGAATTATTCTCAGTCCTCACATGCCTCATGACAAGGACCGCTGCTCTCCACACCATGGGAGTTAATTGTACAGAAAACAGAACTATCTTTGCTAAAACAGAAAAAGGAAGCCTTATGTAAGATCGCCGTACAGAGCTTATGACCTTGCCAGGCTTAAATGTCACAATCGGGCAGTAAATGATTATTTACCAGTCAGAATTACTTTGGAAATAAGTGTTGTTTTAAGGCATGGACACCTGTCTCTAAGAATTCAGACTCTTCTGACAATGTACAGGATGGTTTTCACATTTCAAAACTTCTGAGTTTTGACTTAGTCCTGAAAGGTGGGATTTGGTATGTGTTGCTTTTACATATCTTGCAAAGACTTTAGAAACTTGAGTCAAATTCTGCCCTAAATTTCAAGATGAAAGCTGCTGGCTAATTTCCCCCAAGACTGAAATATATATAACTAAGATATTTTCCTATTTTTCTTCCTCTGCCAATTAGCACCAATACAGATGAAAAACCTAAAGAGAATATCCATTTAAGTCCTCAAGAAGACAGCGGCATACAGCCTCAAACTCTGCAAACAAATCAGGAAAACAGCAGGTACCTACCGTACATATCGAATTCATTATGTTGTCAGGAACTCAAATACTGAAAATGAGAACAGGATTTGCACATGATGATGCTCTAGTTGCATCACTGGTACCAGGGGAATTAGAAAGTACTTCAGGAAGTGGAAAGGCCTTGGTGGTTGTTTTTCTTGGGACTCTGGTTGCTTCCAGGGAGTTGGGTGAGGACTGTCAGCGCTGTGCCCAGGCACTGTTTTCACAAAGCTTTCCGTAGGTTTGTGCAGTGATGCCATGAACCTTTGAGAAGGAAGCTTTCGTTTTCCTTGTGGAACCCACGCATTTGCCACTTGGGTGTGCCCCCCGGTCCCCCACTTCCCTTCAATGTGCAGGGTCACCTCAGGATCCTGAGGAGACTCTAGACTTCCCCTCCTCTGCTTCCCCACTCTCCCTGAATTCTGTGCCACAGCTGGCCTCCTGACTGCTCTGTCCTTTCTATCTGCCCCCCACAGAGGCTTGTCACCACACCTCATCCCTGTATTCCAGGAATTCAGATACCAGCTTACTAGCATAGCTGTTGTGTCCTAAATGTTCAGCTGTTTGCTACAGGATTGGGGTGAAAGGGAAATTATACTACAACCCAAAGTGGCACACAACTTAGAACTGAATATTAGAAATCCTTGAACTAAAAAGTAATTGTTTTGCAAATAAAGATTTACTGGAACACAGTCTCACTCACTATTAGCCTATTTATTGCTTTCTTGGTGTAATAGTGGAGTTGAATGGAAGCCACAGAAAGCAAGACTGGGTGGCTGGCATACAGAGCCAAAATATTTACTATCCGGTCCTTAAGAAGAAAAGTGCCAAACCCTGAACTGTGTCATGTGATCAGGATTTTCTCACTGCTTAGTCCTCCTTGTAGGTCTTGGCTTTCCACCCTTTCCCTAGGCCTCTCTCACATTAGACACATGTTAGTTTTGTTAAAATCTTCAATGTATTCTCAGGCTACCTATTTTGATTTGGTTTTCTGATAAATTCAAAATACCATTTTTCTTTTTCATGCAGGGCAATTCGCCCAGTCCTTGTTTATACTCTGGCTGTGCCCTAGTATCGTAAAATATCTATCCAGTTCCTTAGGACAGGGTCAGAAACACCAGCACCAAAAGCCCATAAAGGGGATTAGGGCCACTCCTGTAGAAAGCAGAAGCAAAAGTATCACAATTTTAAATAAACGTCCTCTTTCCCATATATCAATGTATGCTAATTTAAACCTGGTAGTTTGTATCTACAAACTTGTCAGAAATCTTAAATTCAACAAAGGACAGTAGAGCAGCTATGGAAAAAGGTAACAGGGTAGGAGAGGCATTTTATAGTTAATCAAGATAGAGGCATTTCAGATCTTCTAAGCAAACATAGAGGGTTTCTATGCAAACATATGGTTGACTTTTTCCTAAATAGAATGTTTGAATCCCTAGGTTTATTATCTCACTTGTACTCACTTTGCTTTTGTTGAAGAACTTGTTCTTCACAACTGTTTATGGAAGCAATTGAAATCCACATTGCTTTTTAGAAATTCAGAATTGCTAATTAACTTTTTGAAGCTTTAATGATCATCCAGCCTGATTCTTCTCAAAAGAGCATTTGCATATACCCTAGAAAGCTTGATTCCTATATCCATAGGGTATAGAAGTCCTGAGATAAGAATGACATGACTTTCAAGGAGAGTTTTTTTCTAATGTTATTCCAATGGTTTGAAGGGAAAACAGCATTATATTAACACAAATAAATACATATGGGAACAGAAGTCAAACAATATAGAAGATTTTAAGATAAAATAAGACAGAGAATATTATGCGTTCAGGGATGTTTTGCCTTATGCTCCAAGACTCTTGGACTGATGCATTTCTTGTCCTTCACTATGATGGAAAAGCTGTGCGAAACTGATTACAGCCAGCTGTGCTGCCACCAAATATAAACACACAAAATAACTGACTGCCCACTGTGAGGGAAATGGTTGTCTTTACAAAAGTGCATTTAAAAACAATACACAAGAGTATTTAAAATATCTTTTGATTTCTCCTCAGTCCTGCCAGGTTACCTACCTAAACACTTGACCACTTTTCTTCCAATCAAACTTGCATTAACCCACCTCACAATTCATTCACCCAAGATTCTCTCCCAAAGTGCTCTGGTCCAAAGTAATGTCTGTTTTTGGAACTCATAGCACCTACTGTCTATGCCATTTTTAAAAATAATTTCTTTTATAAGTAATATGTGCTTTGGAAAATAGAGAAGATACAGAAAATTATAAAGATAGAAAAATTACCTGAAATAGCTTCCATCCATCCAATGGCTAGTATTCTTAGGCTTCATCACATACTTTACCTTTACAAGGTTATACATTGAAATGAATATTGACTGTATAATATTAAATCTAATTTGGTATCCATCAAATGACAACCATTCACGTATCATCATTAAAAAACCATATACAAACTTATATCCCAAGGTATTCAATATTTCATATATGGTTACCTATTAGCACTATTGCATTCATTCACTTGCTCATTCTTCAAACATTGATCAATGTACCAAACTGTACCAATGTGTTTTCTTTACCATGCTAAATTGCTTATGAGTAAGGACCCCCTTTCAAATTTCCCCAATCTCTAAGTAAAGACTTAATCAAATGAGAAGAGTACAGTAAATACTTGAGAATAAACTGATCAGAGTTTCATATATCCCCAACTTTTTTGAAATGTCCTTTTATATCAAGGTATATGTCAAATTGTGTACATTGACTGTATCAACTTTTTAATAAAATCAGAAGAAGTCATTAATGAATTGGTTTCCAATCTCCTTCTAAGACTGGAATTTTTCCCAAAGAAGAAAGGTTGATCGTGTGGTAGACCAGAAGTGAGTCACAGTCTGTACCTTGCTTAAGACGTGGGCACCCAAGCCAGGCACAAGGACAGAGAGGGTGATTCAGGTAAAGAGGCAGATTCCAAAGACACAGCTGCGAGTTGAAAGACATGAGAACGTTGAAAGATGATGCAGGTAACACATAATGTTGGGAAGCCTCGTGAGATAGAAAGAGAACAATGATGAGGCATCAGGTGGCAAGAATAATAGGGGGGTGTCAGCTGAGCTGATGAGCCTCAAGAGGGGTCTGTCCCCTGGCCTTAAGAAAGAGGAGAGGTGGGCGGGATCCCTGGGGTGGCACAGCGGTTTGGGCACCTGCCTTTGGCCCAGGGCACGATCCTGGAGACCCGGGATCGAGTCCCACATCGGGCTCCTGGTGCATGGAGCCTGCTTCTCCCTCTGCCTGTGCCTGTGTCTCTGTCTCTCTCTCTCTCTCTCTGTGACTATCATAAATAAATAAATAAAAATTAAAAAAAAAAAAAAAGAAAGAAAGAGGAGAGGTTCCAGCAGCGCCAGGGAAGGGTTTGGACGTCTTAGACTATCCAACATCTTCTTTCAGTCTTGACTGTGTTAGGGAAGCAGGACATGCTCTCTGAGGCTGACCCTCCTCCAAACTGCCAGCTCCTGTTTACTTTCCCCTGCCATGACATGGCTCAGAAACAAAGAGGCAGAAAATTTTTTGTGCATGAGGGACCTTTATGTTTCTGGAACAAAGCTTAACACTGAGAACACGCTTCCTTTGACAAAAAAGGCAATGAGGAAAGGTCAACTTATTCCTTAATCTCTCTCTTACCTACTCAGTGTCTCAATATTTTCTTGTGCCCTACCTAGCACCACTAAGGAGGGCATAAACACTTCTTCTAAACTCAGACTTATGTGTAATGCTAGTATCATGATTTTAAGCAGTAAATTCGGGGGGGGGGGGGGTGTTCACTTGTCACTCATGCTGTCACCTGAATAAAAACATCCTGTTATTTCAGTGCCCTTCCTTGAGAAAGTACTCTCATGCTGGAGAACATCTTGAATTAAAATGTTGTTGGAAAGGAGCTAATTTAACAGAGGAAGATGTGAAACTCAGAACATCTTGGAAGTGACCTCACATGAGATACAAACATGTGCACCTGAAGATGCTGAAGTGCTCCCAGGAGCTGGTAAAGGCTCCCTCCTCTCTGCTTGGATACTGTCACTCTCCATGTGCTCTTTCCTTGTGCTGGAAGCACATGTCATCTAGTTAGGGGAAAAGTCTGCACTAAGGCTCTATAGACTCAATCACTTAAAGGAAGAAGGTGTCACTTAGGATTTCTGTATACAAGTCTGTTCATCACCTTTCTTATTTTCAAATGCTCATGCTATAATATGGGGCTCTTAACAAGAATATAAAAATCCAGGATGAAGATGTGAAAAACAAATAAGTCACGTACAAAACTACTCAGTGATAACTGCTGTCAATATTTGATTCATTTTCTGCTAACCTTTCTTCATAGATGTTTATTTTTTTATATACAGGTTTTTCTTACTTTTTCTGTAGAGCAAAATCACCTATTAGATCAGAGTAAAATCTAGCTAGATCAGTTTTTATGTTCTCTAGAGAAAGAAGTATTTTCTGTTTATTAAAAAAGCAGTTATGGGCAGCCTCGGTGGCTCAGCAGTGTAGTGCCGCCTTTAGCCGGGGCCTGATCCTGGAGACCCTGGGATCCAACCCACGTCGGGCTCCCTGCATGGAACTTGCTTATATCTCTGCCTCTCTCTCTCTGTCTCTCATGAATGAATAAATAAAAACTTTTAAAAAAAAAAAAGGCATTAAGTGAATCTGGGAGAGAGGTTTTCAGGAGAAACATTTTAAACAATGAGCTTTGGATATTTCATAAGCTCTATTTCTAAATCAACTTGAACTATGTTCTATATAAAAAATACTATTTTAAATAAAAGAAGTTTCATTATAAAAGGAAGGGACTTAGTTCTGTGTAGACTCAGAACACATCAATAAATTAAGAAACCATGACTTTTAAGAATTGCAAAATTAACATACAAGTATAGAACTAAGTGGTCCTGGATACCCACACTGGTTCACATACTTACAGATCAAAAATTTATTTTGGTATGATATCATGGGATGTGCTAATGATCTAGAGAATATCAGAGCCTTTCTGGATATTTAACAACAGGTTTGCATAGGAGTACTGCTAACCACTGTACAATTCGGGTTTAGGTGGCTTTTAGAGTCTAGTCTGTCACACTTACCTTGAAAACATACAGAATGAACTGCACATCAACTTGAAGTTTTCTTTAAAATCATGGAAGATAGGAAAAAAACAGGAGCAGCAAAGTCAACTGACAAACTAGGAGGAAAAAATTACAACCTGTATCACAGACAAGCATAACTGGAATATTTGGAGAGTTAAAAGTTTAAAGGCCAACCCTCCCCACCCTACTTCCCTTAAATAGACAAAGGACATACCACCAAGCCACCAAGAGAGAGGCAGGTAACCCATGAATATAAGAAAAGATCCTCAATGGTTTTGCTTGTTGAAACTTAGGGAAATCTAGTAGGTCCTGAGTGTCTGAAGAAGTACACTTTAAAGGAGGGCTAGAAATTAACTGCTGGCAATTGGACTTTCTTAGAATTAAAATTCCCTATCACAAGAAAAAAATATAGGTTCCTCTCTCTTCCCAGAATGCAGTAGGTCAGTGAGAACTGTGATTAACTGGTATCTGATGCCTGGTACATTGAATTTAAAGAAATTCATGAGATTCTTTGGTCTGTGACATCAGTGACACATGGGAACTGCTGTGTATACTAACACGGGCAAAATACTGAATTGCCAACTTTCATTTGTGTCGCTGAGCAATTCTGTTAGCCTCTGGCCTTCCATTTTTCATCTGAACGTAGCGCTGGACCAACTAGTCTCCAAAGCTATTATTACTGCTAACAATCTAACTTTTCTTCTAGTTTCCTTTCTGTATACCTTACACGTAAGTGTGACACGTAATTTCAAGTCTATGCCGTTTAAATAAAATGTTCTGTGTCCACGTGTGTAACGGGGAAGGAATAAAAGATTTTTTTTCTTTCTACATCTATGCCGGCATATGGTTTGTAATGTGTTTACTTTTTGAAGCCTTTCAAGGCCAAGCGGGAAACAAAATGTTCCTTCGGAGACAGGCCCTCCTTTCTGGACATGAATGTGTTCAGAATCCTGTGTAGGGTGAGGTTTACCACTGGAATGCTCTTGCTGGTAACAGCTCAGTATGGCCAACCGGGCTGCCAGGTGCGTACCAGGTACAAATAGAGGCGGCACCCCTTCAGGGCCAACATGAAAATGATGGCTTAAAATTATCCTGTGTTTAGTCATTCTCTTTCAGGTTTTCAGATACCTAATGTGTAATTCACCAGGACACTGAAAGCTCTGTCTCAGAGTACTCACAGGCTCACTCATGCTGCTACCGCCACCTCTGAGAAGCATGATGTAAACACGAATGTAGGAGGCCACGTCTCATCCAACATTGTGATTTCTTTTACAGAAGTTGGCCTCTGTTTGATGACATCCCCACACATCTACCTCAGCCCGACTGCCATTCATAAAGGAGATCTAGCACATAGCTCAAAACCTGGCGTACACACAGGCATATTCTTCATGTTCTTTTTCACTCTGGCAGCGTGACAAAATCTTTAGGGGCAGTTGCAGGAAAACAGGAGCCTTTACTGCCCTACATCACTCAAAGCCTTGACTCTTTTTTTTTTTTTCTTTTTAAGACTTTTTTTTATGATGGTGGGGAATGTGCATGCACAAGTCTGGGGGGCGGGGGGGGGGGTGGGGGGAGAGAGGTAGAGGGAGACGGAGAAGCAGGCTCTGCACTGAGCAGGGCGCCTGATGTGGGCTTGATCCCAGGACCCTGGGATTATGTCCTGAGCTGAAGGCAGATGCTTAATGGACCGAGCCACCCAGGCGCCACCCCCAAAGCCTTGACTCTTGAGTTTTATTCCTGTCGAGGCTACAGGATGTTCACTGTCAACACTCTGTCTTTGAACTAAGTCACTAAAATGATCTCAAGGCTAAGAGACAGACAGTAGCTCCACTTCATATCACGGTTTGCCCTGCTTGATACAGGAGTGTTTTCTGTGTGTAGACAGTTGTAGTTCCCTCCTTTCGAGGCAAGCCCCACTTTGTTCCTAGTGTCTAAAATTATTAAAATCTCTCAGAACTTTTCCAGCATTTCTTTGGTAAATCCATGCTGGGGGAAATTGGCAGAGACACGTTAGATGCTTCTGACAGCAACACCTGTTTATTTCATACTGTATTCATAGGCATTTATTACACACCTACGACAGACCTACAACTTTCTTAGCACTGGAGCTACAGAGGAAAACTCTATCCCTGTCTCATGGAGCTTTTCCAGAAAAATAGGGAACGGGGCTCAGAACCTTTTGAACGGAGCCTTAATGGATTCACATGAAAATAAATCAATGTGAGAGATTTTTCAATTATTTTTAGAATGGTTGATCAACCCCAGGTATATATTTTACTGATTGAAAGAAAGTTCCAGTAAAACCCCAATTCTTAAATGTAATCAAGCTTTTGTAACTAGGAAACCAAACAGCAGCCATTTTTTTTTTGGGCCATCTTTTACTTTTAAGAAGTAAAAATTTACTTCTAAGACTAGAAACAGATGGGAAAACGTTATCATCTGACAGAGATGTAACTGACATATACCTCTGTACATAGATGGATCCAGAGAACAATAAATAGACTCCCGTTTTTCACAAATAAGTGTCAACATTGAACAGAACATTTCTGTTGTATCACTCTCTCCGTACCTGTAAAAATGAACAGGAATGATTTCCTCTCTTTGAGTTTCCTACTCAGTCTCCTTAATTATACCTCCTTCAAGTCAGTGTCATATGGAATCTCTGGATCTTAGAGCACAAGATAATACGGTGTTTTAGATATCACTCCCACACTTACTGTTTTATATGCCCTGCCAAGAATCCAAACGTTGTGCTGTTGTGGGAAAAAGAGAAAATGCCATGGTTTGGACATTTTTAATGCCTCTGAACTATAGAATTCTTTAAATAGGCATAGAGTTTGGTAATTCCAGAAGATGCACTTGAAGTTAATACAGAAAAGCTTACATTTCATCACCATTCTGTTATATACCTTAATCCTGTGTGATGCAGGATCAACCCTCATCATTCTATGAACAAAATAGCAGTTGATATATAGGTTGGACTGAAAAATGTTTTTCTTCATCTGATTCCTGTGACACAGGGTCAGTAAAGAAAACTGAAAAGTGCAAGGAAAATGAAAAACGCATAATCCCAATGGATATTAGTTAAGTCTGGAGAGTTTTCAACTAATAGCTCACTGGGAATACCAAAGGCAAATGCTTATTGGGAGTCCTTTTTTCTGGACACATATATATATTGTAGTTTCTCACATAGATTTTTTTTTTTTTAAGTGCTTCCTGCATAGACATTCCTAACCGGAAAGGCACCTATCAACAATTCCTTATACTTTTGCTAGACACTTAGGATATTCTTTTTCCCCAAGATCATCTATCTTCGGTCACAGCTCTGACGACTTATTTGGGATAAACTCCAAGTGGTGGAACTAGTGGTTTAAGTCATGTCCACTGGAAAACTTACCACACAGAAAAGTTAAATTAAGAGGCTAAGCTTGGGGCCGCGGTGGCTCAGCGGTGGAGCGGCTGCCTTCAGCCCAGAGCGGGTCCCGGGGTCCCGGGATCGAGTCCCGCATCAGGTTCCTCACTGGGAGCCTGTTTCTCCCTCTGCCTGTGTCTCTGCCTCTCTCTCTCTCTCTGTGTCTCTCATGAATAAATAAGATCTTAAAAAATAGGGATCCCTGGGTGGCGCAGCGGTTTGGCACCTGCCTTTAGCCCAGGGCGCGATCCTGAGAGACCCGGGATCGAATCCCACGTCGGGCTCCGGTGCATGGAGCCTGCTTCTCCCTCTGCCTATGTCTCTGCCTCTCTCTCTCTCTCTGTGTGACTATCATAAAATAAATAAAAATTTAAAAAAAAAAAGATCTTAAAAAATATATATATATAATCATATATTAAAGCCTAAGCGTGAGGGTGTCAGCCCCCCTCCCCCCAGTAGTTCCTGCTTTGCCAGCTCAGGGGAGCAACGTGTCTGTCCCTCTCAGGCGCGCTTTCAATGCAGGCCACGTGACTACCCCCCCCCCCCCCCCCCCCGAGAAGTCGCACAGGTCCCACCGCAACTCTCCAACAGATCTGGCTCATTCCTCATTCTCCGCTTGATTTTCCACTGAGAGGCTGTTTCACCAGAAAAGGTCTCCCTCCTGCGGAGCAACTTTTTTTTTTTTGGATTTTATTATTTTATTCATGAGAGACACAGAGAGGGAGGGCGGGGGGAGGGGGAGCGAGTGAGCGACACAGGCAGAGGGAGGAGCAGGCTCCCTGAGGCGCCCGACGCGGGACTCAATCCCGAGGCTCCGGGGTCACGCCGGGCCCCGCCCCCCGGGCGCCCCGCCCTTACCTTCTCCTCTCAGGGAAGCGCTCCCTTGCCGCGGGCAGGAGGCCGCCCTCCGCCGCCTCCCTCGAGGACGGGCTCGGCGAGCGCGGGCAGCGCCCCGGGGCCGCCACGCTGCGGCCGCACGACGACCCCGCTGCCGGGGCTCCGCGCTCTCCCCTCAGCGCGCCCTTCCGCTCCGGCCCCGGACGACGGCGGCGACGGCCCCGCCCGCTCCGCGGCCCTTCCCCGCCCGCTCCGCGCTGGCCGAGCTCCCGAAGCCGCCGGGGGCCTCCGCTCGGCGCGCACACGGGGTCGCCGCGGGACGAGACCCAGGGGCCCGGCGACCCGGGGGCGCGACGCCAGCACGCGCGCGCCGGCCGCGGAGGCCTCTGGGTCCCACGGCCCGGCCCCGCCCCCGGCCGCCCGCGGGCCCCGCCCCTTCCGCGAAGGCGAGACGCTTCCGCCCAGGCCCCGCCCACCTCCCGCCCAAGCCCCGCCCCGATCCCACCAGGCTCCGCCCACTTCCGCCCAGGCCCCGCCCCTATCTCTCCCTGCCACGCCCCTCCGTTGCGCACCTGCCCGGGGATAACTGGGGGTGGGGGATTGTGGCGTGCGGTGCCAGTCCTCGGGGAGGAGTCCTCCCGGCCGGCTCGTAGGCTCCCGCTGGGCACCTGCAAGATGACGGCGTCCCGCGCACCGCGCACCCTGTCCCTGCTGCCCGGAGAAGCGCTTTTCTTGGCGCTTGGTCGGGATCCTATTGGTGGCCCCAGTGCTCCTGCTTTCTCTAAACTCTGGTAAGAGCCTGGAGAGGTTATGCCCTCTGGCCCTGAGCTGGAGCAGATCCGGGGAGCTGGCCGGAGGTACCCAGGGCCCTGGAGCTTTGCGTCCTTGACCTCCTGATCCTGATTTCACTATTGATCTGCTTGCACGCACACAAATGCAAGCACAGACAGTTTTGCTCACTGTGAGAACCCACACAGTGGCAGTCAAGACAAGGATGCTAAGACTGATTGACAACGGCAGACAAGACATACTGCTAGCGAGTACATAACCCAAGAGAAGTGCTCTGGAGGAGAGGAGCTTGATTCTCCGGTAGCATTTAACAAGGACTAGTGGCAGAGAAAATCTTTCACTAAAACTGGCCAAACTCTTCTTCTGTGGGATTCTGTACTTACTATTCCCTCAGACTTGCAATATTCTCCGCCGGCCCTTTGTATATAAGGCTCCTTCCTCTCATTCAAGCTCAATTGAGATGTCACCCCCCCTCTGACCACCCTATCTCAGACACGCACACTCCAGCTCAGATCCCTCCCTGATGGGGAGACACTCTTGCCAAACTGCTTGCTCTCCCCACTAGAATGCAGAGAGCTCCTCTGTCTTGTCACACTTGTCATTCAAAATGCCCAGCTTTTTGCTCAGTATCAACAGTCTTGTATAACCTTTAAGTATCAGAAAATGAAATACAATATTCAGCTGAGGCTTATATAGAGTACCAGCAAAAGGTTCTTTAAAAACCCAGGGTTAGGATGGCCTTTCTGTGGTGCCTAAGCTAAGGCGGGGCAGCTGATGTCAGAAAGGCTCTGTCTCCTACTGTTTATGTAGACTCTGCGGTGCCCACAATACTCTTGTCTTGCTTGTTACTAGTGGGGAGGGGCCGGTGGCAATAAAAAGAAAGCAAAAAGAAAAAAAAATTTTAAAAGGGATCAAGTTAAAAAAAAAAAAAGGGATCAAGTTGAGGTTAGCCATGGAGCTAACAATGAAGGAGACCATGAATATTGTTTGGAGGAGAGGAAATACAATGAATAGGGTGAAAATTGGAAGGTCACAGATACTTAGGAATGCAGAAAAGGAAGTTGCAGGTTCAAAGGTAAAATCAGGATAGGTATGGAATTAGAGAAAGCCCAAATGAGGCCTCATTATGTCGGGCAGGGAAATACGGAAATAGAATACACATGTCCGTTTTGAAGCAGCTCCCACGCCCAGAAGCAGGTTTGTAAGCAGACAGTGTTGTGCCTGGAGGCTCGCCATCTCCAAGGCACTCAGTTGCCAGCTGCGTGAGATCGCAGAAGGGAACATTTGTCCAGTTCGGGACCAGTCCTACTCTTCCAGAAGGAGTCTCTGCCTCAGTGGAGAAAACCCACCATCTCCTGTTGTGAGTGGTGTCTTTAAGTCTCTCCTTTCTCTCTAATGAAGAAGCCAAGATCCCTAAGTGCTTACTTACAGGACAGTTTCTTGGTCTCCTTCCTCTGCAGATTATAAAGCAGAGACAACAGTCCTTATCTGGCCAATTGTTAGGTTACCAGGATACTGGGAGATAGGCAACAGAAGAAATTGCGTGGCCAGATCTTTCTCCAGTGCATAAAACTTAAAAATGATTATTTTCAATATTAGATGCATCTCAGTGTATTCTTCAGCATGGTGTTCTGTTTGACTGCGGTGGCCCTTTGAGCGCCAGATGTTTTGCCTAGCCCCTCCAAGGGACATCCTGTGCTCGGTGTTAGGGCTGCATGTGTGAATGGAGTCAGCCAGGGGGACTATTAAACACAAAAACTTGTGATAGTGACTGAAAGATCCATGCTGAGGACAGTCCAAGAGGAGGGGACTGGGCACTGCCTCCCGGGGAAGTGGAAAATGCTTGCTAGAGGAGCAGTTGACTGGGTTCAGTGTTAAGAAGTCAGGGGTTGAGCAGGAGCCACAGCTGAGCAGGAAGGAAGGGTGTTCAGAGCAGAGGGAGCAGTGTGATGGATCAGAGGCTTAGACACATGACATGGCTGGGGGCATTCGATGACTGCAGAGCTACCCGGTGTGGCAGCAGGAGGACAAGGGAGGCAAGAGAGAGCCCGAGGACTAGATCCCAGAGCCAAACATTGTGAAGAGCAACAGGATAGTCAGCAATGAACAATCACCATCATTAAAATTCAGACATGACGTTATTATCTGTTCTTTCAGGGCACCTTGAGCCGTTTTGTTGGACTTAATACATAGCGAATCGAAACCAGGGTTACTTTAATTTTTCCAGACTCAGTAGAAGACCATGTCTTGAGGACTACATCGCTAAGTGTTTTGGTGGAAGCACGGGAGGGTTTCAGATGAGTGTGGTGGGAAGCAGTGTTGCCTAGTTGCTGGGGATGTTGTCTTGGACAAATTACTTAAGCTGCTGTGCCTTAGTTTGCTCATCTTACAGAGGGGAAAATAGTATCCTATTCATAGGATGAGTATGAAGTTAGTTAAATTGCCCTTAAAATAATGGTACACAGGTAGTGCTGAAGGTTCGCTATTGCTAAAATTATAATATCACCACTGTTGTTTTAAGAAAGAAGATGTAGAATCTTTGGTTACCGTACTTGGGGAAAAAAATCCCCATTATTTGGAGTTCTCCTTTGATACTGTTAAATACTGTTTGTAATAATAACAGTAATGGAGATTGGGTCCATGATAAAACAAGAAAGCATAAATATTTTGACATGAGAGAAATCAAATACTCTGATAAAGGGAAAGAGCTGTCATTCAACCAATGAAAAAGTTTGAAGAGAGGCATAAAACAACAAAGACAAAAATGATGATTTGGTGATTTCTCTGGAAGACATTGGCTGAGCAGAAAAGAATTTGAGTTTTTGTCTAAGAAGATCTGCTAACTGCACTCATTCAGCTGTGGTGCTGGGCATTACAAGTGCAGTGATATGTCATACGTGGTCCTCAGAAGGTAACAGTCTCGGAGGGAGTACAAACAATAACGACTTAGGCTTTGAGGCATTCTGTGGAAGAAGTAAATCGAGCATCGTGAGGACACTTCACCTAGTTTTTTTTGTTTGTTTTTGTTTTTTTTAAATATTTTTTATTTATGATAGTCACACACAGAGAGAGAGAGAGAGGCAGAGACACAGGCAGAGGTAGAAGCAGGC